TTATTCTACTGTACGTTATTTAATTTCACATTTTTTGAAATCTCATTTGACTGTACGTGCTACGTGCACATATTGCTTTAGCTAACAGTTATGGGGTCCATTTGCAGGAAGGGATCACTCATACTCAAATTCCCACTAATCTACCCTCCCAAAATGTATTCTTTATTACTTTTGTGTGTTTGTTTTGTTTTAATTACTATGTGTTACATGCCTTTGTGAAGCACTTTGAATTGCCTCTGTATCTTAAAATGTGCTGTACAGATAAACTAACCTTGAACCCTGATTAAGTCTAAATATGTATACTTTATTACTATATACAGGTCAGGATTTATTCTACTGTACGGTATTACATTTCACATTTTTTAAATCTCATTCGACTGTACGTGCATTTAGTTTACATATCCCTGCTTACTCCTGCATTTAACGTGCACCAAAAGGTCATTTGCTAAATATGAATTGCACTATTTTATCTCTTAAGTGCATAGTACGTGGGCCAGGGCTTTAGCTAACAGTTATAGGGTCCACATTCCTTTAACCTACCCTCCCAAAATGTATTCTTTATTACTTTGCATGCAGGAATGTAATGTTTATATCCATGTATAGGATTTGTTCTAACTTGTAATTCAGTTTATCTCATTATTTGCTTGAACACAATGTTTAACCTTGCCTTTTACTTGCACCAATATGTCAAATGCCAAATGTAATCACACTATTGTTTGTCTTGAACTGGTTAAGGGTGTAGCTAACAGATATGGGACCCATGTGCTACTCCTACTCTATTTCCTTTCATTTCTTCATCCAAAATGTATTCTTTATAAGTATTACATGTTTTAAGTTCATAATTTTAGAATATGAAGGATTTTATTCGACTGTATAGTGTGTGTCCGTTTACATTCAGATTTATCTAATTCTTTTCGTGTACTTATTCCTGCATTTGACCTGCACGATAAGGTCATGTGCGCTCAGTTATTACACTTTTTAATGTATTTAAGTCTTAAGTATATTGTATTTTGCATCTTGTTGAGGATAAGATGTTTCTTGCCAACAACTATACTGTAGCTATTTTGCACATGACACCTAGAGTCTGAATAATTAGGGCTGCTAAGTAATATCATTTGCTAATTATTTACTTAATCTATTTATTATTTTGTCTATAAAATGCAAAGAGCATTCATTATGACGTCAAGCATTCATTTTTACATTTTGGCCAGTACAACTGAAAGCTAAACAAGACATTAATGGGCAATCATGATATTACAATGAGCATTCATTAAGTGAAAACACACTTGAAATGCCAAGAGGAAAACACAAACACCAAACATTGACAACAAAGTGTCATCGACCTCAACGTAGCCACGCCCTATAGCACACACTGCTTTAATGGTCTATTTTTACTCCAAATTGAACCATAATTCAATCAATGGTGTACTGAAGAAGACTTGCAACTAGAGTTTGAGACCATAAACCCACCAGGGAAATGTATTCTGAGGTAATAAATCAAGTGAGAAGTAGGCCTATTTCCTCATAGACTTCCATACAATCAACTGCGGGGGGCGCCCCCTGCTGGCCATTGGAAACAATACAAGTTCAAGGACGTTTCTCATATATGGGCTTCACTTTTCAGATCAAAAGGTTGATTTAATGTCAGAAAATAACAAAAAAAGCTCAAGGTGACCTCGCCACATAGCTTGTTTTGTTAGAACACAAGTCAAAAACCCAACGATAGTTAGTGAAGAATCGTATATGACAACGGAAAGCATCAGATCCTCGCATCTGAGAAGCAAGAAAAAGAGAATAATGGGTGTTTTTGCTGGAAAAAAATGCCTCAAATGATGAATAGAAATCATCTTGCACTATATGTTGACAATGCAAACTGTCTGCTGTTAACAGAATCTAACCAGGCCATAAAAACACATCTGGGTTTAACATTATGAAAGCAAAGACCAAACCGAGAGGCCCTCACTGTGTGTGATGTGAGGATATCTGTGGGAACATATCCTGCTCATCTAAAAATGCCGTTACATACTCTGTTGAATCAACATACAACTAGAACTAACAACTATTGCATTAGACATTCATCTGATTGTCATTTTATGCTCTATTTTATTGCACGTGTCCTTGTTTTCTTATCCTAATGTTTGGTCCTTTTTGATGTTGCAATTGGAGATCCTGAACCGTTCAGACTTGATTTGACAATAGGGTATAATAATGTCGTTTTAATTGATGGATCCTTTGCGATAATGTGTACAAATAAATCCCCCTCCCAGTTGCAGCCCACGTTCAGGCACCATAACGTGCGCCAGCAGAACAAAACACGGAAGATAATCAGCTTAAGTTTAAGACAAAGGAACAAAGTAAATCTTCAGATTGGAGACGCTGGACACAGGAGCTTCCCCTTGGATGGAAACATGACAATAAATCGATTACTAAAATAGTGCGTAATTGATTTTTTTAAATGCATCCGAGCTCACGCCCTACGCTTACTTATTTATTTATTAGATAAGCGTGTTTTTGGGGAGTTTTTTTTCACATGCTGAACCATGTTTTTGTTTCTGTTGTTGCCTTTCGATTGTGTCCAAATGGTTAACATGTTTCTGCTTCAATTGGTGCAGAAAGGAACAAATCAAACTGAAAGCACATGATACATGACATTATTGTTGATACCCTAAATTGATGAATTGATCATTATCATTTAAATATGTCTAACTATTGGCAGATCTTTGCTACTTAAAGGTGGGGTAGGTAAGTTTGAGAAACCGGCTCGAGATACACTTTTTGTTATATTCCATGGAATGCTCTTAACATCCCGATAGCAATGAATATCTGAAGTGCTTTGACAAAAAATCCATAAAAAAATGTCATCTGTGGAAGCCGTGATACTGTAAAAAGCACGACCAATCATCTGAGCCGGCCCGGCTAAAATAACTGGATGGCCTACCTGCCTGTCAGCCTTCCATCTGTGCACAAACTTATCTTGTGCCCTCATTGGTCATGTGCGCGTTCGTGTGTGTTGGAGGAGGGGCTCTGTAAGGAAGTGGCAGATTTCTTCCGGCTGTGTATTTTCAAATTCTAGCGATCTCGAGCCGGTTTCTCAAACTTACCTACCCCACCTTTAATGTCTTAAGACACCCCTTTTTTTTTTTTTAAATATCTCACCAAAACGTGTTATTAAAAAACATATATTTCAGATGCCGAACTGTTACGCGTGATTTGAGCTCAATTGGACATTTTTCTAATGCTGTGGAAGCTTCCCTCGCTAAAACAAAGTCTTGCATGCATCGTTTTCTGGCTGTATTCTCAGGAGGAGGAGGAAGAGGGAGAGGAAGAGGGAGAGGAGGAGGAAGAGGAGGAGGAGGAGAAAGAACGTTGTTCCCCCCCCGCCCTCTGACACCCTGTCTCTAGAGAGGTGATCCAACATGTCCTGCTGGAGCTTCCTGTCCTCAGGACACACTGCTCAGCATTCAGAGCAAGACTTCCATGTATTCAGGAGAGTCATTGTGAGGTGGAGTTACTGGTCTGTTGAAAGTAACTGACACGTTAAACCACTTCCATCTGTAATCTCTGCAGCTTCATGACCTCTGAAGGACAGAAGGTCACCAAGCGGTCAGTAAAGGACACAGCAAGGTACTGCAAACAACAGACTCCAGCTGATATCCCCCCATAGTGTTTACTGTCTGTTGGGTAGTTTGAGTGGGCTTTCTGTTATAAAAGGATCACACATTGATGAATATTGGGTTGTGTTGCTGAAGTTTGGGCGAGACTAAGATGCACATACTGTGATGGGTGTGAGGGTCTTTCCCCAGGAAACACTCTTATGTTCTTTTGGCAATTGAACATTAATGCCCCCGAAGTTTGTGGAGAAAAGTCTTACGTCTTTGCAGATAAAATATGCAATTTCACTTTATTTTGGACAATTATTCTGATCATATCTGTGTACAAAAAGCTAAAAAGTAAAATGACACACATGAGCTCATGATTCTTGGATATTGAAGACCCTAATGATAATTTAAATAATAAATTCAATTTCTATTATGCTCATTATTTTTTGTATAACAGGTCATTATTCATTTAAAACATAATACAACACTGGAGGGAGGCTCCCTCTCTCCATCCCGTGTGTGTGGGTGTGTGTCTGGTGTGTGTGTGGGTGTGTGTGTGATTGTGTGTAGTGTGTTGTGTGTGTGTTGTGTGTGTGTGGTGTGTGCTGTGAGTGCCATGCGTTGGTGATACTGTGCTGTGTGAGTGCGTGTGTGGTGTGTGGTGGTGTGTGTGTGTGTGGTGTGCGTGTGTGTGTGTGCGTGCGTGTGTGTGTGTGTGTGTGTGTGTGGTTAGGGTTAGGGTTAGGCATGTGTTGGTTAGGGTTAAGGTTAGGATAAGTCTCCAGGAAATGCATGTAAGTCAATGTAATGTCCCCTGAAGTGATGTATACATGGTATGTGTGTGTGTGTGTGTGTGTGTGTGTGTGTGTGAGGAAGATCTAGATGCACATATTTGATATGCAATACTTGCAAAAATGTATGTTTTCTTTGTAAAAAGTATGCAATTTTACTTCAATTTGGACCGTTATTCGAACCATATTTGTGTTCAAAGAGCTAGAGCAGATCATACATTCATTAATTCGCTCTCCATATACATACATTGTTCTAAGGTCAAACCCAAAATGGCACACAAGCCATATAAAAGTATAACACCCTGGTAAGATAAGAACAACAAAAATAATAACATGACTAATAAATACAAAACGATATTACATGCTTGGTTTTCAATTGAGTGGTAAGAAAGGGGTACAACCTCTCTCAGTAAATGTCAAATTCAACCACTTTGGTCTTAAATGCAAAAATGTAAGAAATGAATCCAATAATTTATGATAAATATGGTGTTTTCTGTTTGATTGTGTGTGTGAGCATTTCAATACAAAGATTCAACAAACACATTTTCCTATTCTATGATTACGTTGTTATTATAATGTAAATGTATGGAGTAATAAGAAGTGCACTTACCCATTGTAGAACTTTGATAAATCCCAGCGGTTGTTTGAGTATAGTGAACTGCCCTTGGGCCACCAGCTGCCAAAACACACACACACAAAAAACAGCCGTTAGTTAAAATGTATTTTAACTTTTTCACACAGCTGCCTCGCACTCTCTCTCTCTCTGTGTGAAGTTGATGATTAAAATCAGGAACCTAATTACCTCACACTCATAACGCCCTGAGGCTGCGTGATACAACGCAAATATGTGAGTCCAAGCATCAGGGAAAGCAATAAAGTACACACATTTGGGGTACATTTGGCCATAACTGTCGCAAAAAGAGGGGCGTTTACTCAATTTTAAGGGGCACAAAAAATTGTAATTAGTGCATAAAGTGCTTACGCTTAAATGCTTTGAATCAGAAACAGAACATATTTTATTTATACCGGGGAAATTGGGTTTTGTGACTCCATTTTGTAGTTAGTTAAAATAAGAAATATATAAAAAAATGGAATAAAATTAATTAAAGAAAAAATGTGCAGGAGTAAAATATCCATCAAATGAATAAAAAATGTAATAAAAATATTAACACAAACTTAATCTAAAGAAAATAAAAAATATATATAACATTTAATTTTAAAAATGACACAAACTTAAGACTTTGGAAATAAAAATGTGCAAATAGTACACAAAATTATGTATTTAAAAAAATACTATATGAGGCTTTTTAAAGGACATGGATAGTTGCATTAAGTTGTATAGAAATGTGTATACATATATACATTTTGGGCATTTCTGCCCCTGTCCCCTTCTATGACACTGTCTGCCAACAATACACCATTATGGCTTCAAACGCTCTGACTGTCTGTGTGTGCGTGTGTGTGTGTGTGTGTGTGTGTGTGTGTGTGTGTGTGTGTGTGTGTGTGTGTGTGAGCTCCTGGCAGCATTACCGTTACACTAAAGCTGATTAACCTGTTTTCTCGGTGCTCTCACGATGCACACTTCACAGCAGCCTTCTCCTTTTTAAAAAAAAATATCATTTTACCTGCAGCTCTCGCGTTATCTGCCACAAACAGGAGGATGTATTTTTTGCGCAGGTGATGCGACACCGCAAACAAGGAGAAGAGGAGGAAGAATAAGAAGGCGGTGTGTGTGTGTGTGTGTGTGTGTGTGTGTGTGTGTGTGTGTGTGTGTGTGTGTGTGTGTGTGTGTGTGTGTGTGTGTATCAATACATGGCCGCAGCAGTGATGATGGTTTCTCTGCTACTCTCCATCATATTTCAGCATCCATATTGAACAGATGACGCATCCTCACAAAATGCATGTTTCATCTCCCCTCTCCGCTCACACTGAAGCCCCTCTTTGTCACAGAGCTTCTCTTATGTCGTGCGGCCTATACTGCGGCTATCCGAGCCCACAAGCACACACAAACACACACACACACACACACACACACACACACACACACACACACACACACACACACACACACACACACACACACACACACACACACACACACACACACACACACACACACACACACACACACACACACACACACACACACACACACACACACACACACACACACGCACCGACATAATGGCCTGCCTTAGAAATGAATCATGTTTGTTATCCAAGCAGCAGCATGCTCATTGAGACAGCCTAAATCAATTAGCAGGATGAATCCCGGTGGAGGCCACATCCTCTAAAGCTAAATGTCATTGCTGCAGAAATCTCTGCTCATCCTACACAATTTTTTTGTGGTGATGGTGGTGTTACTGAGAACAGGCTAATCTATTATATCTGCAGATTAACAGGAGGATAAATGACACCGTCGTGCAGACATAAATGCATAAATCACAATTCCGACTCATCGAGAGCTCTGCGCTGAAAAACGGTAAAGGTCGGCGCATCTTTGGCCAAAAAAACATCCTACTTATAGCGCACCATGGAGGACAATAATGCTATATGAATGAGAATCATCTACAGAGAAAAAACAGTAATGAAATATATGATTTCCCCCCCGCAAAGCCTTACCTGGTTTACAACATCCATCTTGGCCGCTTACTCGCTGATAAGAGGATCAGAGGGGCGGAGGGAGGGACGCGTCTCTCCGGAACAGCCAGGGAGGGGGGGTGATGGCGGGGGGGCAGACACCCAGGAGGAAGAGCAGACTGCGTCACGAACTGGGCGAGGACGTGTGAAGCGTAGTGACGTCAGAGGAAGCATCAGACGTGGAGTAAAGGAGAGCCAATGAGAAAGCAGCTTTATTCTAAGGGCAGTGAGAGGTTGCCCCGAGGCTTATTAATGCAGAGAGAGGTGTGTGTGTGTGTGTGTGTGTGTGTGTGTGTGTGTGTGTGTGTGTGTGTGTGTGTGTGTGTGTGTGTGTGTGTGTGTGTGTGTGTGTGTGTGTTTTGGGAGGGGTTAGATCACGCCTTAGTACACAGAAGGACATATATAAAGAAATAAGGAAAAGGTCGAGAAGGTTTGTGAACTGCAGCTGGTCATAAACACGTTCAAATGTCACAGGGAGGGTCACTTTAAAAGTGTATTCTGTTACAATTAATAATTATTATCTGTAAAATAATTGAGTCAGCAGGCTTTGGGAGTAATGGATTACATATAAAGGGTTTATGTAATCAGGATACAAAACAAACTGTGTTCCCTTACAGTTACATAAAATGGGAGTAATCAGATTACTATTAATGTAAATGCACTGACATTTAACCACTGCCTTAAAAATGCTGTTTTAGTTTAATACATTAATTAACAAATCAGGTGTCCACCTAATGCTTTTAAAACAAGTGTTAGCATGTGCTTCCTAATATTTAAAGAGTCCTCTCCTGCTGATGTTCAGGTGTATATCAGTGTGTAGTGTCTCTACTTTAAAGAGTCCTCTCCTGCTGATGTTCAGGTGTATATCAGTATGTAGTGTCTCTACTTTAAAGAGTCCTCTCCTGCTGATGTTCAGGTGTATATCAGTATGTAGTGTCTCTACTTTAAAGAGTCCTCTCCTGCTGATGTTCAGGTGTATATCAGTATGTAATGTCTCTACTTTAAAGAGTCCTCTCCTGCTGATGTTCAGGTGTATATCAGTATGTAGTGTCTCTACTTTAAAGAGTCCTCTCCTGCTGATGTTCAGGTGTATATCAGTATGTAGTGTCTCTACTTTAAAGAGTCCTCTCCTGCTGATGTTCAGGTGTATATCAGTATGTAGTGTCTCTACTTTAAAAGAGTCCTCTCCTGCTGATGTTCAGGTGTATATCAGTATGTAGTGTCTCTACTTTAAAGAGTCCTCTCCTGCTGATGTTCAGGTGTATATCAGTATGTTGTGTCTCTACTTTAAAGAGTGCTCTCCTGCTGATGTTCAGGTGTATAAAGAGTGCTCTCTCTGATGTGTATATCAGTATGTAGTGTCTCTACTTTAAAGAGTCCTCTCCTGCTGATGTTCAGGTGTATATCAGTATGTAGTGTCTCTACTTTAAAGAGTCCTCTCCTGCTGATGTTCAGGTGTATATCAGTATGTAGTGTCTCTACTTTAAAGAGTCCTCTACTGCTGATGTTCAGGTGTACAGTATATCAGTATGTAGTGTCTCTACTGGGACATGTCTCCATGCTTTAATGTTCAAAAAGCTCTTTATTTGTCTCATACTGCCTGTGCTGCAGCACCTCTTTTCACCCTCTGTCTGAAACCAGAGCCCAGTCTGCTCTGATTGGTTAGCTGGCCAGCTCTGTTGTGATTGGTCAACCGCTTAGAGATATCCCGCCCCTTAGCCAATCACGTACAATGTGTTGGAGCGCTAGCCGAGCAAGTGTTACACTATGGTATCACTATGTTCAGGAAGTAAACAAAGGAGTCCAATGGAGGTGTTCCACAGGGATGTTAGCCTTTGCAGACCATTTACATGCACACAAACCTATAGAACACACCACAGGAAAGGGAAACCACCAATAAGCAGAATAGGACCTCTTTCATTCTGTATTTTAAAATGTATAGTAACAATATAATCTGGCAAGTAATCCCCATTTTCAAAATTGTAGCAGTAATCTGATTTCTTCTTGTTATCAGAAAGGGAATACACTGTCCCTTTTTTGTATCCTTATAACATAATCCCATTTAAAGTAATTTGTTACTTGCTAAATCTGATCACATTAAGCATATTTAGAATAATATATTTCTGCTTCTTGTAGGATCATTCTGCACAAACCAAGTTAGTGGAAGTTCAGTTTTCTTTACATTCATGCAAACATTGTACAAATGACACAGCAGACACAGACGGGTGATTATTTTTGCATGATTCTATTTTGTCTTAGAGTGGAAGTGAAACCCAGATGTTGTCCATCTGCCGCTCCGTTAATGGCTCATTATATAATTCACTTCCACCTCCGTTATTAGTGAAGAATACACCTCTCAGCTAAAGTACGGTTAGTAATGGCGTGTTAGAATAATAACTGAAAAATAAAACATACATTGGAGACAACACAGGGAATATCGTTGGAAAATATTGTACTTAACTTACTCGTTAACACATACGAGGAATTTGTCTTGGTGTTTTCTGTGCATACATAAAAATACAATTAAAATTAAAACACTGATAAACAACTATTTTAAGAAAACTATAATAACATTAAAAAAATAGCAATATTTACATCGAATATGGTTTGAAATATAGGTATACCCGTAGAAAGAGGGTGTATTAGAGCCATTTTAGGTTGGGTAAAAATACAAATTAAAAAACAAAATAATAAATTAAATTAAAATGATTATTAAATGATTATTAATTATTAATAATAATAATAATTAGATGGTATTGGAGCCATTTAAGGTATAATATTTATTATAAATAAATTAAATAATTAGTTATAATAATAATAATAATAATAATAATAATAATAATAATAATAATAATAATAATAATAATAATAATAAGACGGTATTAGAGCCATTTAAGGTAAAATAAATAAATAATAATTTTAAAGTATTTAAAGGTCCCATGTCATGCTTTTCTGGTTATTACCCCCCTTGTGTGTTATGTAGCTTTTTCTGCTTGTAAACGGTCTGCAGAGTCACAAACCCTCAAAGTACACCCTGTAGCGAGTAAAACTCTAACACAGAAAATACCTGTCTATGCTGCCCCAGAACGCCTCGCCATTTTTTTCTTCCGGGAACCAAGTGACGTAAGGGGCTAAGTGACGTAAGGGGCTAAGTGACGTAAGGGGCTAAGTGACGTAACGTGGACCAATCCGTGGAGCTCCTCACACACCAGGATCCCTTGGCGTCACTATCAAACGCAGTGGGGGGACCTTTAGTGTCAATTTTCAACTATCAGGGAGTCCCATTGACTTGCATCGAGCTCCCTGAACGTTGGTAATAGACGAGTTGGGATCGCGGAGAAACACTCACTCAGCCTTATCTTTTCTCAGCCGCAGCTCCGCGGATTTCTCAGCCTGAACTCAGCCTGAGCACACACACAAACTCACAGCCAGGCTACGAGTGTGTGTGCTCAGGCTGAGTTCAGGCTGAGTTTCGCCGTGTCTCGCTGTCTCGCAGACCCCACGCAGCAACCAGGAAACGACACCAGTAACCCAGCTCACACTGTCTGCTCCTCGAGCCTCAAAGGGCGGAGCAGCGAGCCCCGCAACGTCCCGCCAACACGGCACCCAGACCCCACGCAGCATTCTCATCTGTTTGTCATTACTGGTGTCATTTTCTGGTTGCTAACAAACGCCATTGTAACACAAAATCACACATCAGAGCACAGTGGGCTCATAGGGAGGGGGGGGTGGGGGCAGGAGCTCCAACAAGGCGTGTAGGACAGAGAGTGAATACACATACTATACAGAGATGCTGTATGAGAAACCAATGTGAGTTTGGAACATTGAACAATGTAAATCTATTCTAGTAGACCTCAACAATGGAATTATGATCAGTATAAATGGCCATGACATGGGACCTTTAATGCTACATCCACTTCTACTTCACTATATTTTTTAGGCGAATAATAATCTTTTTTAGTGACATGTTACAATAATAAATACAAAATAAAACAATCATTTGAGAAAACATGATGCTTTATTTAAAGTCACAAAAATCCCAAATGCTGCTATTAGTTTTCATGTTTCTTAAAAGAGGATATTCAATATGTTTAATATATTTAAATACTTCTCTAAAATAGCGAATGCTGTTGGGCACTCGCGTATCGTTATTCATTTAATAAATTATAAACATTTTATTGATGTCATATTTTCTATTTTTACAGTTTGTACAGGAGTATAAAGGGACAACAGTTCATGTACAGTATAAAATGACAACACAATGCAAAAAAAAAAGTCCAGTTTTCTGCAGCAAAACAACGCAGTCCTGCCACATACTGCTCTTAAAATCAGGGGGTGTGTTAGTGTGTGTTTTGGCATTTACAAACAAAAACACAACATTTTACCTTCAGACAAAAAGAAAATCACATCAGTCTTGCACACGTTTCTCTCTCTCTTTCCACAGCAGGTTTAAATAACACTTCCTCCCCTCACGATCCTCTCTCCTTACTTCCTCTCACTGTTAATGCCGGGTTTTTTTCAGACCTCAGTAAGAGATCACGCAGTTCATCTCGTCGGCCAGCTCGTCCTCGAAGCGAGAGATGGACTGGCTGGCTCCGCGGGCGATGAGGTCGGACGCCGCGCTCTCCATGTCGTCCAGACTCAGGTGACACGCCTCCGCGATCTCACGCTTCGCAAAGTTCACGAACTTCGGGTCCCGGGCGTAGACGCCGAGACCCTCGGAGATCAGGATCTGATGTGAGATAGAGAGAGGAAGGACGGAGTCAGGCAGGGATTAGGTTATAATTCTCTGTATCATGCAAACATAAACATGCACGTCTATGGCGTTAGTCACTCAAATTAAAATGCTAAATGTTGCCCCTTTATTTATTTGATTATAATATGCAATTACAGACTGAGGACAATGAGAAAGTATTATCATTACTTTCTAAAATAATTAGTTTTGTTAAGTAATTATTGAGCTAATTCCAATTTATAAGTATTAGTATATGTATGTATTACTAAATTCAAACATTACATTTTATACATCATTTGTTATCAAAAGTCCTTTTAAGTTCCAGCTTCCAGCAGCCTCTTTGTGTTTTCCAGTATTATTGCTTAAAAAATAATTACATATTTCACAGATACACAAGCGGCACATTTTATCAGCATTATAAAAATGACAGTTACAGCCATTTGAATACAAATGTCCTTGTTTAAAGATAAACTAGGAAAACTCTGAACCCATCCAACCCATGAGAGAGTTCCAAGTATTTTGAAATAGTTAATATGTTGTTCATATTGATATTGCATAATACATATTGCTTTGGGTTTCATCAAGAATTTTCCCCTTTACTCACCGACTCCACCAGGCTGTCTGCGCTCCCTTTCTCCAGGTACCTGTGGCTGACGGGGGGCATCCTGACGCTGCCGAGGGTCCGGGTCTGACTGGGGTACCAGCCTGCGGCGGCCCGGGAGGCGGCGGGGAGGCTGGCGCTGCCGTCGCTCCACATCGGCTGGCTGCGTCCGGAGGCCTGGTCCATCCGGAGCATCGGGGTGTAGATGAGCTTCCCTCGGCGTCCAGAGGGGGCGATCATCCCCGGGTGGGGGGGGGGCCCCGCGGTCGCCGTGTTCACCCAGGAGGCCGAGGACATTGCGCCGGTCCGCTCCAAACTGTGAACGCTCTGAGGACGGGAGAGGAGGAAGTATGCACCATTTTATATACATTTCTGTTTCTTGCAATATTCGTATAGTTTTATTGTTGACTAGACTAAATTAAACTAAATAAAACTACAAAATAAAGCTTTTGAATCTTGAAAAAAAGTTAATTTAAGTTATTAAAGTAAGCCTAACAATATTATCACAATATCTGTAAATAAATAAAATGCTATCAATCACATTCATCTTTAAATTAAGTATGCTTAAAATACAAGCAAATAGAGTGGTGCAGTGACGCGTCCTAAAACCAGGAAGTGAGTCAGCATTTTAGCACTTCCTGTTCCCTCGTCTCAGAGCCAATGGGATTTCTCCATAGGATTTTGGAAAATAGCTGGAACTAAGGTCTGTGGTTGAGACACATTGAAGAGACGGATCACGTTTTGTTCTACGACATTAAATCCATCAGCAGTGACCCCACTGGTGATTTCTGAAGAGTTGACGTGTCTGAAAAACGATGGTTGTTACCAAGTGGCTGAATAGGACTACAGAAGTTGTCGAGGTCGTTGTACGTCATTACACCGAACACGTAAACACTCCTCTAAGTTTGTTTGCCCTGTTCTGCTTGAAAGCAAGTACCTGCCTCCTGCAAACTGTTCAAACAAATGCTTCAACTTGTACCATTTTGAATCTGTATGTTTGAATATGGATCTTAAGTTGGCGTGACGTTGAAGTCGTGCTGCTGTACTCGGCTGTAGTTCCTTTATAGCATCACGTTAGCATTTTGCTTCTGGCGACTAGATTTATGATTCGAAAATTATAAAAGTAGGGTAGACATGTGGAGATTATCCGGCTGAACAACACGTGTATTTATCTAACAGGTTCGTTTCCACAGACCTTATTTCGAGCTATTTTCCAAAATCCTATGGAGAAATCCCATTGCTTTTTTGTCGAGGGAACCCATGCGCAGTTTATTTCTGGGGTCGGCCTACAAAAATACGTCATCCCTGCACCACTCTATAGAGGTGGAGAGTGTGCAAAAAATCGTAAAATAATAAATATATAATGGTAAAATCGGCTGTTTTTTTTTTTACATGGTACGTGTGTGTGTGTGTACCTGTATTTGGGCTCTGGGGGGGCCTATGTTGCCATGGTACCCCGGGATGGGGACGTCGTCCATGCTGCTCTGCGGCTGCAGACACTGCACGTTAAAGGAAGGTTTACGGCCTGAAACAGAAAGCAGGTGATTATGGGAAAATGTCAGCATGCATGACTGTGATTCTTCTTCATATCATATAGCAAACAAACACTGGCCATTAGAGGGTCAAAATATGTCCTGAATGACGTTAAAATAAACAAACTAAATGAAACCAAATTCCACAAAAATAAATTAAACTTAACTTAATTAAACGTAACTAAATTAGATTCAATAAAAACTAAACTAATCTACCTAAATAAAATGGGGTCTCTGACCCAAATTAAAGGGTCACCTTTTGGTAGAGCAGGCAGAATGCGTCTCCTGATAAACGAGGATGCGTTCTCCTTTCCGTGGAATCCGTTTCCGGTGAACCCGCTGATCATGCTGCCGTTTCCAGCGCTGTTCATCGTGCTTCCTGAACCGTTAGCGCTAACGATGCTACCATTATTACTGATGTATCCATTCCCGTTGTACCCGTTAGAAGAGTAGGAAGTGGGGCTCACTGTGACAGCCTCTCCGTTCATGTTGGCGCTAATATAACCGTTACCACTGTTAGCATAGCCATTAGCGTAACCATTACCAGCAGGGTTTGCGTAACCGATAGCAGCAGGGTTAGCGTAACCACTAGCAGCAGGGTGAGCGTAACCATTACCAGCAGGGTTTGCGTAACCGTTAGCAGCAGGGTTAGCGTAACCACTAGCAGCAGGGTGAGCGTAACCATTACCAGCAGGGTTTGCGTAACCGTTAGCAGCAGGGTTAGCGTAACCACTAGCAGCAGGGTGAGCGTAACCATTAGCAGCAGGGTTAGAGTAACCGTTAGCAGCAGTATTAGCGTAGTTGTTAGTGTCAGTGTTAGCGTAGTTGTTAGGATCAGTGCTAACGTAGTTGTTAGGATCAGTGCTAGCGTAGTTGTTAGGATCAGTGCTAACGTAGTTGTTAGGATCAGTGTTAGCGTAGTTGTTAGGGTCAGTGTTAGCGTAGTTGTTAGGGTCAGTGTTAGCGTAGTTGTTAGGGTCAGTGTTAGCGTAGTTGTTAGGATCAGTGCTAACGTAGTTGTTAGGGTCAGTGTTAGGGTTAGGGTTGTTAGGGTCAGTGTTAGCGTAGTTGTTAGGGTCAGTGTTAGCATAGTTGTTAGGGTCAGTGTTAGCGTAGCCGTTAGCATCAGGAACGCTGTACGGTGTCTCCCCGACGCTGTCCACTCTCTGCAGGCTCGGATCATTGTAGACGGGCTCAGGTTCTGCTGGAGGGACCGGTTCTGGATACACGTAGCTGTAGACAATACAAAATAGTTAACTTACGTTTTTTCAAAAATACATTGGGGGAAATATACTTATTCCGCTAAGAGTTAGATATAGATTTAGATACAACTCGATATTTGTCAACGCTCAAACTGTTAGCTTAGCATAAAAATTGAAATAATTGGCTTTGTTGCAAAGTTTGTGATAAGATTTCTCCTGATAGAGATAGAGAAAGAAATCTACGGCCTCATGCAGGAAGTGATTAAACAATCTTTTGTTAGTAGCCATGGATTTCTAAGATTCACCTATGTTTTCCTATTCTTTTAAGTATAACAGTTTAGAAGGGGTGAAGAGCGCTTTTCCAAAATAAACATGTTTTTTCCAGTGCAAAGGAACAGTTTGAGATATTGGGAAAGAAGCTTATTCTGCCACGAGTGAGATGAAGAGATGGGCCTCTGCTCATGCTTGTCTGTTAAGCATGAAGCTGAAGTCAGGGAACTGTTAGTTTAGCTTAGCTTAGCATAAAGACTGGAAGAGGACATGTACGAATATGAGGGAGACTAAGAGGGTTAGGGTGAAGCCTGCAAGCAAGCGAATACATGAACTTATTTGTTGATGACATGTGTTTATCTCCTCCCTCTCTCTTATTTCTTACCCTTCTACTGGTGCTGGAGCTGCTGGCTCTCCTTCACTGACGGGAACCTGCTCAGGTACTTCAGCCGGAGCCTCCACCACCACCGGCTCCTCAACTACAGCCACCGGAAGAATCTCTGCAGGAGGAATCTCCACCGGAGGAATCTCTGCAGGAGGAATCTCCACCGGAGGAATCTCTGCAGGAGGAATCTCCACCGGAGGAATCTCTGCAGGAGGAGGATAATCCAGAGGAGGAGGAGGAGAGCCGAGAAGAGCAGGAGGAGGATACTCAGTGATGGTGACCACCCTGAACAGAGAGGAAAAACTCATTATGACTATATATAAGTGGGGGAGAGCAACTATATACATTTACTCCACTAATTTACTCAATATTTGTTACTGTACATTTTGTAATTCAACATGTATATCTTCTACTTTCTTGTTTATTTCTTTCATTTGTATTGTACAATGCCATGTCTTTTTATGCTACTGCAACACAAACATTTACAAAATTGGGATCAATAAAGTACTTCTTATCTTATCTTATCTTATATACATTTAAGGTACTGTATGTCACAAAGCTGGAAACAGGGCTGCTTTTCTGAGAAACTCAGTACCTCAGTATATTTAGTACCTTTTACTTTACAATCAATACTTTTATTTAGGTAAATACATTTACTCAAGTATTTCTTTCAATGTAGGACTTTTTCTTGCACTTGAGTATTTACTTTTTTGATTAAACTTCTGTACTTTGTTAATATTGTGTTTTTAAATATTTTTTTATGTTCAACATTTTTGATTCTCAATTGTCATAATATGTTCCAACACAAAGACCTACAGTACACTTAAGACAAAACATTCCTTAACCAGACCAATTCAAGACGTCTACTTATAACGGAGTATTTCAACACCATATTTTTCTACTTTTGACTGCACAAAATGACCGGCGCTGTGGTGCAGTGGCATAGTGCGTTGGTGTTCGGATCAGGGGGGCACAGGTTCAAACCCCACTGCAGTCAGCATGTCGTTGTGTCCCTGAGACACTTCACCCCAAAATTGCTCCTGTGGGGATTGTCCACAGTATTGAGTATGTAAGTCGCTTTGGATAAAAGCGTCTAACAAGTAACATGTAACGTAACAAAAGGACCTGAATACTATACTAATGCTGTTGATGTATTGTGATTTTAAAAAGGTGTCTATTCTCATCTGGCCGGCGACAACAGCTGGAAATTAGCAATGTTGGCTAAAGCTGCCCCATTTACTGTTTTTTGTGACAGTTGATCAATGGGGACTGTCCACGACACTATAAACAAATAAATTAAACTAAACTAAACTAAACTAGATGTTGGGAAAATACTGAATGTACTCTTCCAATATGAGAGTACACGTGATAACAAAGGTATCCCAACTGTATCTGTGTACATGACAGGATGTGTGATTACCTAGAAGAGCATCAGGACTGTTTGAGGCATATGATAGCTATGTGATGAACATGATGATTCAGCCTCTATGGAGATAGACATATGACAAGCATGATCATTTCTGACGTGGAGCTAATCTGAAGTAAACATTGAATACTGCTTTATATTCCTCCATCTTGTGACTGTGTAACTCCCTCTCTTGGATATCAGCATGTGAAGGACACTGTTCAGGAACTAGTTGATGCTCTGTGTGTGATGATTACTTCCATTCTGGAGAGGATCAGAAATACATGGATCCTGAGATTGAAGCTCAAGCCGGGGACGAGTGAGATTTTTCTAACATAATTATAGACCCACCTGACGGGGAGGGGCTCGGACCAGGGCGGCTGCTCCGTCACCACCTCCAGTCCTGCCAGCTCGGACCCCGGCTTGTGGTGCTCCAGCAGCCCCGTCACCTGCTCCGTCACCACCGCCTCGCTGGGCTCGCTCTCCATGAGTACCGTCACCTGCTCCACCAGCATGTGGATGGGCGGCAGCGGCGTGTCGCGGGGCGTGGAGGCCCCCGAGTCCCCGTGCTCGCTGTGGAAGATCTCGTTGTGCCCCATCTCGCCCTCCACCCCCTCCTCCTCCTCCAGGTCGCACGACATCGCCATGCGAATCTCTGGAGCCAAATCCTGGAGCGAGCGCAGCCCCATCTGAGACACACATATTCATATTTTTTCAATACTGTATTTAGAATTTTTCTTTTAGTTACAATAAAGCAAAGACATACAGTACACAATATACAGTAAGTAGGTACACGAAACCTTTACATGACGTACAAGAAAGAGAAAAGCTGGTTATTACATTGACAATGTTATGGTTTAGGTGTTCTCTAAAAATTCTCTAAAAAAACCCTGGTCATGTTCACACTCCAGTGCCGTCACATTTTTGTTTTTATTTCTATATTTACCAGAATTAGATAGCTTTATTTATCCTGGTGACAGTAGGTTTTGTGACGTACATTTTAAAACATATACATAATATGGCAAACCAGTTTTTACTCATTTGAATTCTTATTATTCTGATATTATCCTGTGTGAACTCTTACCTGCCTTATCCTTTGTTTCACTGTTATTGATGCTGTGAAGCCTAGCATTTATTTTAATAGGGGATTCATTTCAGTTATCTTTCTTACAGGGGGGGGGGTGCTGAGGGGGCTGCAGCACCCCCATCTGTTGGCGGAGAGTTGTAACTGCAACGCCAAAAAGTTCACAAAACAAATCAATACAAAAGTTTTATTTTGAGTTACTATTTTTAAGTTAGCATTTTAGTGAAAGCAGTCTATAAAAAGCTTCACTATATAAGAGAAAGTGATAATGCGGTGTGCTGCTTCTGTTGCTCTGCTATAGAAAAGAAGCTCGTCAGTGCAGACAAGATCAGGGATGGGAGTTTTGTGAAAGCAGGGTTTAACAACTGGCGAAAGGCAGGGGGGAACATTTAGGGAGCATGAGAAGTCCCATCAACACACAGGCCGTCAACAAACTGGCAGCATTAAAACGCACACCGATGAATGCACTGCTCTCACAAGCTGTTGCTAAAGACCAAATTACGTTATTATACAGGGCCGCCCCTCCCTACACGCAGATCACGCGGCGCACCTACAGTGTAGCACGCCTCCACTAGCAGCCCCCCCGCACCCACCGCACCCAACTCTGACTGACTTCCCGCGTCCCTGCTTTCTTATTTTATCTAAATCAACTTTATTTATTTTTTTGCAAACGTTTTATTAGGTAGAACAAATTGAATGACGGTTAAATAAACTATTTGTAAAGCCTCTTGGATCAGGTGGAAATCAGCTAATCTTGTTCCAGTCAGCAACTTAGACATACATTATGTGAAACTTCAAAGACACACACACAGTGTCTAGGAGTAATAAAAACCTGTTTGCATATTCAAAGATTCAGAATACTTTGATATGTCTGTGGGGGAATCTGAAGGGAAAGCAGTATATTTAAAGTCACCTGCAGAGAAGCCGCCCTGTCCTTCCTCTTGGTTTTCCTCTCCCTCTCCTTTCTCTTACGGAACTTTTTGAAATAGTCCTGAATCAGGAAGCTGGCGTAAAACTTCCCACATGTCACCTCGTCACCTGAGGAGAACCACAAAAACAAGTTCATTATGTGCAGGGCCAGGAGGAAGGCATACAGTATATTTTTTTGATTATTCTCAAATGCGTGTTAATTCTCCACAAAGTGTAATATAATTTGTAGTGAAGTGTGCTCATGATGTCAGGCAGCTGTAGGTTTTTGTTGTACCTCTAGGTGGGGGAATAACTTCATCGATGAGCTTTGGTTTGGTGCGTTTCCACAGCTTTTTAATGATCAGCTTCAGCTCCTCGTTCTGCTGGTCGATGGGGCCTGAAGGGAACGAAGGGAGGAAAGCTTAGAGGAAACGTCAACCTGATACAAAGAGGTGTAAGTGACTTATACAGGTGCCATGCATGGGTTGAATGTACATGTATGTGCATGAGATCTGACCTTCAGTCTTGATCTTCAGTGAAGTTCTGACGAGAGCGAACAGCGTGGCGCTGAAGGTGACCGTCCCGTCAGAGTGCAGCGGGACGTTCATGGTCACCAGTCTCTGAGAGGACCAGAGGGAGAGGGACATCTTATTTCATCTCAAACTCTTTAATAATGTAGCCCCTTTAAAGGTCACCTATTATTCAAAATCCACTTGTTCATGTCTCTTCTACATCAACATGTGTCCCCTCTTCTTCATGTCTCTTCTACATCAACATGTGTCCCCTCTGTGTAAAGAGACTCTGAAAGTTTCAGGAACAAAGATTCCCTCTCTTTTTGTCCTGATGCATTTATATAAAAACCTGTCTGAAAATGAGCTGATCAGATTTTGGCCACTTTATGATGTCATAACGATTTCTTGTCTTGTGTTACCATTAGCCAATCACCAACCAAGGTAACCCCCCCCCCCCCCACCTTATCACCTGAATCTCCTCCGAGAGCACCATTGTGTTCTTTTTAACCAAATATCTCTCAGAGGGGCGTGGGGAGGGGCTCCTTATTTTCATCTAAAGTAACAGACAGAGAATCAGCACTTTGGAAACAGGGCTGAAACAGAGGGGATTATGGGATGCTGCAATGATCTGTTTGGTGTTTCAGCCAATCAGAGACAGGCTCTCTATATATCTGAGACCTGTGATATATTGATGAAAAACAGTATAATAGGGGACCTTTAAACATATACTGTACATTGTCTACTTCCTGACCAGTGAGAGTGATTTGTGATTGCAAAAATAAAGCTGAATAAAGATGAACATTGCAGCGCTGAGGAATCAGTGTCTTACAACCTTGTAAAAAAAAAATGTAATGCATAATTTCAAATGTTCAGAATCCATTATTAAATTCTTGGCAAACCAATGTTTTGTTAGTATGCAAAAAACTGTAGTTTAGTTGCATTCAACTGTATCATGTCGATAAGTAACACCAACATTTTAGTGAGGAACATGGGCTTCTTTTCCCCTTCTTCCTCCTGTTTTCTGCCGAGTGGCGGCCATGTTGTGCTGTTGCATTGTGAATAGAGTGGCGAAGTCCCTCCCCTTCGGGTGGACCTCCATGGGACCTTATTTCGGAAAAATTATGTATTGAAGTCAATGGAGAGAGAAAGATTATCTTTCGATCCCGTTTGAATTGTGCCACGAATTACACACATGATGTTTGTCAATTTAAAAGATAATTTTGCAAGTCAAAAAAAAAAAAAATGTGTCGTAAAACTGTGAAGTAACACATTTGTTTGTGTGAAACGCTCAATGAACTACATCTCTGGTCAACAACACACGTCACCAAGATGGCCGTCACTACTGTCTTGTCAACACAACGATTGACTACCCTCACTATCACCACAATGAAACACGTCCTGAAGAATGTCATGCAAAGCTGCCTGCCTGCCTTCCTTTGATTCTCTCTGAACTGCCTGGTCGTTTTAATGTTTAATGTCAACCATTTGTGCAGATAGCATGAAGTAGAGAAGATCGCTAGCGTTAGCGTTAGCATTTCTCCCCCGGGCTTACATTGTGTATTATAGAATGACCACACAGGTGACAGTACTCTTCAAAGGGTTCACGAAATATGACTACTACTCTTACTGTTTAACATTTTGGGTTACTTAATGTTACTTCATGTTAAGGCTAATAAAAATGACAAGGCTGTAATGCTAACTAACGTGCTAGCTACTAGCTAGGTAGCTAACTTGATCAAGCCACTCCTGGTCCTTTCATCAGACGGGAAGCAAAAGAACGAGCAAGACCCATTGCTGGTATAATAACAACCTGGTACTAAGCACACAGGCATCTTGTTAAAGTTATCTTATCTTAGCCAGCGCCATATAGATAGATTCTATCTATATGGCGTTATCTTATCTTAGCTATCTCTATTTTAGTGGAGGAAAACAATTGTGACATCACTTACGCGACTCTGGGATTTGTAGTCTTTCTAGTTGCGTATTTTTCATAGTCTTATATTTCAACAGTTTTACGACAAACTGTGACTTTTTTGACATGGAAATTATTTTTTAAGATTGACAAACATCATATGTGTAATTCATGGCACAATTCAAACGGGATCGAAAGATACGTTTTCTCTCTCCATTGACTTCAATACATTATTTTTCCAAAATAAGGTCCCATGGACCGGAAGGAGATGGGCGTGACTTCGCCACTCTATAGAAATACTGAATATAAAATGTAATTTATTTAAATTTTTTTAATTAAACTTATTATAGGGTACTGCTTTTAGTAAATACCTCCTGCAGTATTCAAAAGTACGACTACGTGGTCCCTTTGACAATCACAGAGCACTGATCCTTCTGTTCAGCTGTGTGTACTCACTCTGCAGCACACACGATGAGGACACAGTTTTCCAAAACCAAGAGGAGGCTGAATCCTTCGCAGCAATGTGACGACATCGTTGTGCTTTATACGACCGCTGCATCAGGAACACACAACAGACATTTACTCACATACTGTATGAGAGGCAGGTCATTTAGAGCTTCAAGAGTAAGATTCAAACACCTGAAATGTGCCGAAACCAAACTTGTATTCTCACCTTATTATACAAACCCCTAACAATTATTTCATTTTGATCATGATTAATGTAATGCTTGCTACACCAAGTACAGCAATATTTGTATAAGGGCTCATGGCAACTAATTAAGTTATTCTACTTTCTTATTATGGTTCGGCAGAGGTGGGAAGTAGTGGAGTACAAATACTTTGTTACTGTACTTAAGTATATTTTTCTGGTATCAGTACTTTACTCCACTACTTATTTTTCTGACGACTTTTTACTTTTACTTCTTACATTTTGAACCCAAATACCTGTACTTTCTACTTCTTACATTTTGAACTCAAATACCTGTACTTTCTACTTCTTACATTTTGAACACAAATACCTGTACTTTCTACTTCTTACATTTTGAACACAAATACCTGTACTTTCTACTTCTTACATGTTGAACCCAAATACCTGTACTTTCTACTTCTTACATATTGAACACAAATACCTGTACTTTCTACTTCTTACATTTTGAACACAAATACCTGTACTTTCTACTTCTTACATTTTGAACACAAATACCTGTACTTTCTACTTCTTACATTTTGAACTCAAATACCTGTACTTTCTACTTCTTACATGTTGAACACAAATACCTGTACTTTCTACTTCTCACATTTTGAACACAAATACCTGTACTTTCTACTTCTTACATGTTGAACACAAATACCTGTACTTTCTACTTCTTACATGTTGAACACAAATACCTGTACTTTCTACTTCTTACATTTTGAACTCAAATACCTGTACTTTCTACTTCTTACATGTTGAACACAAATACCTGTACTTTCTACTTCTTACATTTTGAACTCAAATACCTGTACTTTCTACTTCTTACATTTTGAACACAAATACCTGTACTTTCTACTTCTTACATGTTGAACACAAATACCTGTACTTTCTACTTCCTACATTTTCCAAACAGGCTGGTTCCTTTAGTTTGAATGTGTGTTTGGTGGCGTGATCATTATTATTTAGAGTCATTGCGTGCCTATTGATTTGAACACGATCCGTGTATCCATCATTTCCTGGTCTTCTCTAAAGAAGAGGGACCAATGAAAACGTTGTCATGTTGCCGTTGTTCAGCATGGAAACATTCATTAGCTAACAATGACATTATTGTTCTATTAATATAAAGGGAGGTCAGGTACTCTTTAAAACAGCTGCTAGTTATGGGTACTTTTTACTTAAGTACATTTCAAAGCCCTCTTTACTTTTACTTGAGTAAAGAAGTTTAGTCAGTACTTCTACTTTCACCAGAGTATTTTTAAACACGAGTATCTGTACTTATACTTGAGTAAAGGATGTGTTACTTTTACCATCTCTGTGGTTCGGCCAACAAACAAATATGATAACAGGATTGTTTATTTCAAATATTAAAAGATATTTGCTTGACATCGTGTAAAGATTATGTAACCAAGTTTTTTCAAGGACTATATCCAAATGTAACATACCGTTAATCTTCAACATAACTGTTTAACTTCTAAACATTTCTCCAGATGATCATGGGGGGTTAACGAGGAAAGTTTCTCACGTGGCCTCGGGGTCGTAGTCGGACCAGACCCTCTTGAACTCGTCCAGGTGGTGAGTGCCGAGCACCGTCCAATCCCTGGTCAGATACTCAAAGTTATCCATGATGACGGCGATGAACAAGTTGATGATCTACAGAGAAGAGGACAGAAACAGAACAACTTACGACCAACATTTCACTCATAAAACAAGATTTGATTCATGATTTTAAGGTTGTTTTTGTTGAGTCAAGTCATATTATATCATTCATCATTATATAGAAACATGAACCTGGACCCTGGGACTGTAAATCTGCCTCAAGCTAACAAGGAAGTAGCTTAAAAGATGTTCAAACTGAGGAGCATATTTCTAAATTAATTAATTAAAGTGCTTTAAATTCGTAATGCTTAGTTGTAGGAGTCGCAGGTTAAACGTTGGGCTTTTCAAAATAAGATAATCACAATATTGCACATGCTTGGATTTTTGGCCTTTGTGCATATTTTCTTTTTTAATTAATGTGGGAACTTTGTTGAAGTGAACTAGAGACCCTCAGAATCCTACAGCAGTCTCCTGGATTAAACTCACCTCCATTTAATGTCTTAAAATAGCACTGATGTCATGGAAATGCTACCAAAAATATGCCGTCTTTATAAATCAGGATTTTGTGATTGGTCTCTTTCCGTTTGGATTAACAATATCCACAGATGGAGAGAACGGGCTGAGCTTTTTAATTCTCAGAGTCTGTAATAATATCCTCGCTACGCCCATCTGACATTGATCCCAACTTACCTGACAGCCTGTAATGACTAATGATATCTATATTTATTTTGGGGTGAGAAGGCTGTGTCATGTTACATCAGAAGGAGTGTTTTAATCCTCCTCATCAGGTAGGCAATGTACTGCTGTAGAATCATCTGAAATCATCAATGTGTATATTGTATATCTAGAATATTAATATTTGTTAGACAGCTCTTTCTGTCAGGAAACGTTGCTCTTTTCAAATCCACCAGACACCATTAAAAACAGAGAAACTCCATATGGAGGGAACATGGATTTTAGCCTCTGCAGACCATTTACATGCACAATAACCTAATCAACAGACAAGCAAACTTAATAGGGCCTCTTTAAGACTTGTGTTTTAAAGGTCTCCTATTATACTGTTTTTCATCAATATATCACAGGTCTCAGATATATACAGAACCTGTCTCTGATTGGCTCCAAACACCAAACAGATCATTGCAGCATCCCATAATCCCCTCTGTTTCAGCCCTGTTTCAAAAGTGCTGATTCTCTGTCTGTTACTTTAGATGAAAATAAGGAGCCCCTCCCCACGCCCCTCTGAGAGATATTTGGTTAAAAAGAACACATTAGCCGCTTTCACACCAAGTACTTTGCCGTACTTAGTTCCCATTACTTAGTTCCCAGCACTTAGTACCCCCATGGAACTAAAGAGCAGATCGCGTTCACACCGGAATAAGTTCCCTGAGGGAAGATTACGCAAATGAAGCCGCTGACGTCACTTCTTCTTCTGCTTTGGGTTTACTGGCAGGCCGCAAACAACTTCACGGCGTATACTGCCACCCGAAGTCCCCGGCCTTCAGTAGAAGCTGCTGGGACTCCCAGCAGCTTCTACTGAAGCCTTCCGAGTAAATCGCCAGAGCGCCGACACCTCCTCATCTCCACCGCTCCCATGTTTTTTTTTCTGTTGCCATAAGTTATTCTCTCTCCGTTGGTGCATGGGGCTAATGCTAATGCTAATAATGCTAATGCCAGCAAATACAATGGCGGCTTCAAAAAACTTTTCAGAGTTTTACAGGGCGTGGTTTGCAATTCGCCCAGCCAATCAGAAATTGGTACTTTTTTCTCCCCAGGCTAGTACCACCTCTCTAGCAGGGACTAAAAAGGGGGTAAAAGTTCTCTGAACTAAGTTCTCTTTTTGGTGTGAACGCAAAATTCCAGGCACTAACGGGAAAAGTACGAGTAAAAGTACTCCGGTGTGAAAGCGCCTAATGGTGCTCTAGGAGGAGATTCGGGTGATAAGGTGGGGGGGGGGTTACCTTGGTTGGTGATTGGCTAATGGTTACACAAGCCAACACATCGTTATGACATCATAAAGTGGCCAAAATCTGATCAGCTCATTTTCAGACAGGTTTTTATAGAAATGGATCAGGACAAAAAGAGAGAGAATCTTTGTTCCTGAAACTTTCAGAATCTCTTTACACAGAGGGGACACATGTTGATGTAGAAGAGACATGAAGAAGTGGATTTTGCATGAAAGGTGACCTTTAAAAGGTTAGTTACGATTTATCACAATACCACTATCCAACATATCTGCAGATGCTTCATCCTCCTCCTCCTCTGCCTCTACACTCACCAGGTATGCGCAGAGCATGAAGAAGCTGATGAAGTAGATGTAGGACAGGTTGCTGCCGCAGCTGAACTCCTCCCCCGGCTCCGTGTCCGAGTCGGGGTCACAGCGTCGCCCGGGCAACGCCGCCAGCATGATCTCCTGCCACTGCTCACCTGTGGCACACCTGCAGGACACACAGCAGGAGGTACTTTAACTCAGGCAGGGTTTACCTACTAGTCTAGTTGACAGCACCTGGAAATGTTGAGCTCTGTTTGGAAAATACTGAATGTCCTCTTCCAATATGAGAGTAACATGATAACAAAGGTATCCCAACTGTATCTGAGTACATGACAGGATGTATGATTACCTAGAAGAGCATCAGGACTGTTTTCGGCATATGATAGCTATGTGATTAACATGATGATTCAGCCTCTATGGAGATAGACATATGACAAGCATGATCATTTCTGACGTGGAGCTAATCTGAAGTAAACATTGAATACTGCTTTCTATTCCTCCATCTTGTGACTGTGTAACTCCCTCTCTTGGATATCAGCATGTGAAGGACACTGTTCAGGAACTAGTTGATGCTCTGTATGTGATGACTACTTCCATTCTGGAGAGGATCACAAATACATGGATCCTGAGATTGAAGCTCAAGCCGGTGACCAGTGAGATCTTTCTAACAAGCACCCTAAAGTTTTATGATAGAAATGTATAGTACGGGTCCTTAGCACATAGAAACTGCCGGATACTAACTTGCATATGTTGGGCAGTTTGCACAATTAGCATAAGTTGCGTTAATTAGCATTACATTGCATTATAGCTTACTGTATATTGAAAATAGTATTACAATTGCTAGGCAGATATGGACAATTTTTGAGTGATTTTGGTTGTTTTCAGGATGCTGAATCCATTTCTGACATTTTCAGGATAAGAAAATGCAGTTTTAACCAGGAAGTGGCTATATTTGTACTCTTTTTTGATACATTTTGGGTCCATTTGGCAGATTTAGGGGATCATTTGGATTGAACAGATTGCCTATTCATTTGAAAGAAAATTGTCCACAGAGATAGTAATTGTAATCTTGTGCTCTCTATATCAAATGATCGCAACACTACTCATGGTAATACAAACCAGCCCAACGAGAGTCCAAATATTGCCATTTTCTGGTTAAAACTGCAATTTTTGATCCTGAAAGTATCAGAAATGGACACAGCATCCTCAATAATCCCAAAAAACTGAGTTTACTCAACATTTCTGGGTTCACATTGCTTGCAACTAGACTAGCATTAGATACAGTTTGTTGAAACAGATAGGAGTACCATCAGGAAGCTAATAATGTCCCGGCCTGCACGTATTTTAAACACCTTAAAAAATCTGTTTTAGTGAACGTTATTTGGAATATTTTCACCAAACCATCGCTTTAAAGGTGACCTATCATGCTATTTTTAGGCAATACCATAGGTCTCAGATATATAAAAATATATAAAAAACATGTCTATGAAGTGTTTTGCTCAAAATACCAAACAGATCACCCATTCTAGCCATGCCTCATATCCCTCTATTTCACTTCCTGTTTCAAAAGTGCTGATTTGGGTATAAAGCTTTACAAAATTAAAACATTGATTAAAAAAAAAGGAGGGGTCTGAGCTCATGCGGGACCCGGCAGCTACTGTCTAAACTAAATACTGCGGTGATGAAACGCCATATCATGGATTATCAAGGATTATTTCTGAAACAGTATGGAGCTCAAAGGCTTTCTCTCTTGCCGGTTATACCACAAGGTGAGTTCCTTTTTATTTCCTGCTTCTTCACACACATGCTCTCCAGTACAGGTTAGCTCTGAGTGTTAGCGATGCTAATGTAAACACCGACCACATTACGTCCAAAACAGTCGGGCATTGTTTCTGATAGCAACTTTCTGATAGGGCCGTGGGTCCACATTTCCGATATTACGTCATATCAGACGCAAATCTGGATCAGCTCCGTTGTACCCCCGTTTTTAGAGATTTGGGTACGGAGGAAAAGAGAGAGGGTTTTATTTTCTGACGCTGCGTGAGTTCCCTGACACACCGGGGACACATGTTTATGTATAAAAGACATAAAAAAGTGCATTTTGCATGATAGGTCCCCTTTAACTTCCGTCTCTTCCTGGTTTAATCATCTGACCTGAAGAGCACCAGACAAGCCATGAAGAACGTCTGGAAGTTACAGTTTCTGTTGATGTGTGTTTCCTCATCGATGGCCACTTTCCCAAATGACTGAAAGGAGGAAACAGAGCATGTGTTTAGAAACAAAAACATAATGTCAAAGTTAATAATAACAAATAAGTGGGGCAGACTGTCGTTGATGGGTTATACTGTCTTGTTTATCATGAATTAGTTAATTTAATTAAAAGGACTTGGTATTATTTTCAGCTACGACTGTTCAACATAGTATGCTTATATTTTTTTAAACTTTTTTTCAGGCTCAGAATCGGATTTAAGTTTATGCAAAGTATGTTTTCACGTAGAACATTTAAATAGGAAAATAAGAGCAAATATTGAAAAGAAATCATTATAAAGTATTACAAATCATTAAGAAATATGTAGAAGAAATCTAAAACATACATATAATTTTAATATATTACTGATTCTTGTATACACTATTACAAAATAAAATAAATAAACAAAAATATACAATAAAAACACTTCTTTAAATGTCAAATATATTTTACACTAGAATTGTATTTATTTGTCTGCGGACTCAGGTCTCTCTTGTTAATGAGACATGTTTTGATGTGACCTACTGATTAAATAAGGTTGATATATAAGCGAGACTCACCTGCATGCCGATCACAGCGTAGATGAAAAAGATCATGGCGATGAGCAGACCGACGTACGGCAAAGCCTGAGGGGCGAAAAGTCAAAGGCAAGATTACAAAAAAGGATTTAAAAGGTTAATAAGAAAATACTGTAATAAATCCTCCATGTGGATTATTCTCTGACCTGCAGCGACTTGACGAAAGTCCAGAGGAGCGTCCGGATTCCCTCTCCTTTACTCAGCAGTTTCACCAACCTCAACACTCGGAACAACCGGAAGAACGTGATGGACACTTTCCCACTTTCTCCTTTCCCCTACAACAGACAGAGAGATCGAAATACCGTTTCCCACAATCCCGATATATATAAGAACAAATGTATATAACAATATGTGCAAATATGTATATATATACACAGAATCAAAGACGCATTTTTACATGTGCACACATTAAGACCTAAATAAAAACACAACAATCAATATATACAAAATAACAGTCACTTCAATATCTTGAGAATGTACATTATTGCAAGATTGTCCATTGTATCATAAGGTCCATCAACACATTGATAGTTGCAGTATAACTAATGCTGTTGATGTATTGTGATTTTAAAAAGGTGTCTATTATCATCTGGCCGGGGACAACATCTGGATTAGCAACGTTGGCTAAAGCTGCCCCATTTACTGTTTTTTGACACTATAAACTAATAAACTAAACCAAACTAAGTGTTTCAGCTCTCACCTCCCCGTGGCCTCCTCCTCCCTGGATCCATGTTTCAGGTGAAGAACAACAGGTAACGCATGTACAGGAAAAAGATTAAAAAGCCATCAGGACCAGACACATCTCTCAAGTAAAACAGTCGTAAGAAATGATCTTTGTAGGAATAATTTGACATGATGTAACAAAACAATACACTATGTTTCTTGAATTCTCAGCTCAATAATTATACAGTTTTCTTCATGTAGCGATTTTAGAATAAGTCAGTACGATAACACACTTTTTTGTCTGTCCTTACACCATGTAAAGCGGCCTTGTGTCCCTTGAAAGGCGCTATAAAAATGTGATCTTTAATTATTAATATTTATAAACTCACGCTGAGCTCGGAGACGGCGATATCCAACACGCTGCCGACGACAATCAGAGCATCGAATGAGTTCCAGGGGTCGATGAAGTAATGCTGCGAGAGAGAGGAGAAGCAGAGTGAGACACATGTTGACAGGTAAATAAGGTTTTGTTATTATTGTTATATTATAGGTCCCCAATTATACTGTTTTTCATCAATATATTATAGGTCTCAGATATATCCAGAACCTGTCTCTGATTGGTTGAAACACCAAACAGATCATTGCAGCATCCCATAATCCCCTCTGTTTCAGCCCTGTTTCAAAAGTGCTGATTCTCTGTCTGTTACTTTAGATGAAAATAAGGAGCCCCTCCCCACGCCCCTCAGAGAGAGATTTGGTTAAAAAGAACACAATGGTGCTCTAGGAGGAGATTCAGGTGATAAGGTGGGGGGGGGGGGGGTTACCTTGGTTGCTGATTGGCTAATGGTTACACAAGCCAAAACATCGTTATGACATCATAAAGTCAGGACAAAAAGAGAGAGAATCTTTGTTCCTGAAACTTTCAGAGTCTCTTTCCACAGAGGGGACACATGTTGATGTAGAAGAGACATGAAGAAGAGGGGACACATGTTGATGTAGAAGAGACATGAAGAAGAGGGGACACATGTTGATGTAGAAGAGACATGAAGAAGAGGGGACACATGTTGATGTAGAAGAGACATGAAGAAGAGGGGACACATGTTGATGTAGAAGAGACATGAAGAAAAGGGGACACATGTTGATGTAGAAGAGACATGAAGAAGAGGGGACACATGTTGATGTAGAAGAGACATGAAGAAGAGGGGACACAGGTTGATGTAGAAGAGACATGGAGAAGAGGGGACACATGTTGATGTAGAAGAGACATGAAGAAGAGGGGACACATGTTGATGTAGAAGAGACATGAAGAAGAGGGGACACATGTTGATGTAGAAGAGACATGAAGAAGAGGGGACACATGTTGATGTAGAAGAGACATGAAGAAGAGGGGACACATGTTGATGTAGAAGAGACATGAAGAAGAGGGGACACATGTTGATGTAGAAGAGACATGAAGAAGAGGGGACACATGTTGATGTAGAAGAGACATGGAGAAGAGGGGACACATGTTGATGTAGAAGAGACATGAAGAAGAGGGGACACATGTTGATGTAGAAGAGACATGAAGAAGAGGGGACACAGGTTGATGTAGAAGAGACATGAAGAAGAGGGGACACATGTTGATGTAGAAGAGACATGAAGAAGAGGGGACACATGTTGATGTAGAAGAGACATGAAGAAGAGGGGACACATGTTGATGTAGAAGAGACATGAAGAAGAGGGGACACATGTTGATGTAGAAGAGACATGGAGAAGTGGATTTTGCATAATAGGTGACCTTTAATTTTAAAAGGGTGAGAGAGCGACTTGTTACATGAACACGCAGAGCCAGCAGCTTGATGATCATCTCGAAGGTGAAGATGACGGTGAAGATCATGTTCAGGATGTCCATGACGGAGGTGAAGAGCTTCGACTGCTCGTAGTGCTGCCGGAGGAAAGACCATACAAAAAAAACGTTATTGTCCTGTATAACAGTTTCTACATAGAAGAAGAAAATAGAAGAAAAATAGGATAAAGGTATTTATATAAGCATAATTACATTTAATTAAATATGGGCAGTAAAAATCTGAAATAAATACTTTTTTTTAGACTTATTAGAATCATTCGGTCGTTAAAGTTGTAAAATGCACTAAAAGCCGAATCTAGATTTATTTTCTCTCTCCATTCATTCTAGTGAGCCGAGAGTGGGAGCTCGGGGGGCGGGGCTTAAGGGGCAACTCGACTGCGCATGCTCTAGCCAGGCATGACGGGTAATCTGTGACGTTTCGCTCTCTCAAAAGTTGGGCCATTTTGCCTTCATGCGCCAATGAGCAGCTCTCATAGGAAAGAACGAGACCCCGCCTCCCACGCTGTATCCAGTTCTTATTATACATCCATGTTCTAGCCATGCCTCATATCCCTCTATTTCACTTCCTGTTTCAAAAGTGCTGATTTTGGGTATAAAGCTTTAAAAAATTAACTATAAAAAATAAAAAAGGAGGGGTCTGAGCTCATGCGGGACCCGGCAGCTACTGTCTAAACTAAATACTGCCGTGATGAAACGCTATATCATGGATTATCAAGGATTATTTCTGAAACAGTATGGAGCTCAAAGGCTTTCTCTCTTGCCGGTTATACCACAAGGTGAGTTCCTTTTTATTTCCTGCTTCTTCACACACATGCTCTCCAGTACAGGTTAGCTCTGAGTGTTAGCGATGCTAATGTAAACATGCACCGACCATATTACGTCCAAAACAGTCAGGCATTGTTTCTGATAGCAACGTTTCTGATAGGGCCGTGGGTCCACATTTCAGATATTACGTCATATCGGACGCAAATCTGGATCAGCTCCGTTGTACCCCCGTTTTTAGAGATTTGGGTACGGAGGAAAAGAGAGAGGGTTTTATTTTCTGACGCTGCGTGAGTTCCCTGACACACCGGGGACACATCTTTATGTATAAAGGACATCAAAAAGTGCATTTTGCATGATAGGTCCCCTTTAAAGTGAGCTCAGGAGTTTAACGGTCAACACTTAAATAAATAGATATGTCTGTATTTAATAGGTGAGTGAATACCTGCACGGCCAGAGTGAGCGTGTTCCCCAGAATCAGAGCAAACATGATGTACTCAAACTGGCTGGAGTTGACAATCCTCCAGAATTTGAGCTGCGACGCAATTTTAGGAATATAAATCTTTATGGGTTGAGCTTTCAGAGCGTAGTACACACACTGACGCTGCGAAGAAGAAGAAGAGGGGACACACATTAGTCACTTTAAATACACACATGGATTATCAATTTCAAATGTCTTGGATAATATTTACCTGGTTTTTGTTGAGCTCACAGTTCTTGAACTCGACCTCTCCTTGCTCTCTGAAGGTGATGATGACGAAACCCACGAAGATGTTCATCATGAAGAAGGCGATGATGATGATGTAGATGATGAAGAAGATGGAGATCTCCACGCGGTAGTTGTAGATCGGACCTCGGTTGATGGCGTTGGCATCCACGGCTCGGTAAAGGAGCCTTTATTTGAAAAACACAAAAACAGTTTGACACATTTAATGGAAAAACACACAATTAAAGTACAAAGATTCAAAGGCTTTACTATCATATATACCAGGGATCACCAACTACATTTGTCCAAGGGCCAAAATTATTCCTAGAGACACTTTCGGGGGCCAGCGATTTTTATATATAGCCCTGAATTCTGAAGTTGTTGACCGGGGGGGGGGGGGGGGGGGTATGCTAGTGAAGCACGCTCATGTACTGTCAACTCGCCGGAGCCTCGCAGCGGGGCTACTGCGGAGCGCATAAAGCAGACTCTTCACGCTAACGAAGGATCACTTCTTCTTCAGGGCAGGGAAGGCTACGCAGTATGCAGGCTACTGTCCCGCAGCTGCTGCCTCTCTGTTGGACTCCGGTACTGCACATTACTCACGAGGCGTTGTAAAAAAAACAAACCGAGTGGGGGGGGGAACGCACTAACCACTCCGCCAGCGCCACAGCGCGTGCCGGGTGAGAATGTCTGGCGTGCCAGATTTGGCCCGCGGGCCGCCAGTTGATGGTCACTGATATATACAGTAGCTACAATGCTACAAGAAACAGAGTAAAATAGACAAGAGTAATGCAGATGAAGTAAGCTATAAACATGTCAGAATACAATAAGCTAAATAATGCAGAGAATATTCTAAAGGACCAAGTTAATGCAGGAACACTAACATAAAACAATACAATTATAACTTGGAGAGGATCTAGAGACACGTCAGCTATCTTAAAGGTCCCATGTCATGCTTTTCTGGTTATTACCCGTCCCCTTGTGTGTTATGAAGGTTTTTCTGCATGTAAACGGTCTGCAGAGTCAAAAACCCTCAAAATACACCCTGTTGCGAGTAAAACTCTAACACAGAAAAGACCTCCCCAAAACGCCTCGTTGGAGATTTCTCATTTTCCAATGTTTACTTCCTGGGTATCGCTACGTAGGGATACCCAGTAGCCACGCCCAGAGCTATGGCCGCACCCTCTGCCAGCCTTTCACGTAACAAAGCTTCCCAGACCTTTCAGCGATTCATGTCGGATATGCACAGCGTCGGGCACTGAAGAACGATGCTGTTCCTACTTTGTTTGGACCAGCGGGAGATTCGGGTACACAACCTGTAAGTATTCATTGTTGTTTGTGTATTTATGATGTTTAAAACAAACAAGGTATCTACCACGACTGTTTCAATGGGTAAACGTTTTTCGGGCTGCTATGTTGGGATGGCGGAGAAATGCTCTCTGCAGACCCATTCTCACAGCGTTATAAACCTTTTTCTTACTCAATATCAAGCCACACTTATTGTTTTTACTTCGGCTGTGAGTGTTTGTGTGTGCTCAAGATGAGTTTTGCTGTGTCTCACTGTATCGTCGACACGGAAGCCCTGTCTGCTCCTCACAGCAGCTCGCAGCAGAAATGGCCATGACATGGGACCTTTAACTCAAAAGATAAGACTGAGGCTAGAAATATTCAGTTTTTCTATATTTATTGTCAAAAAACAGCCTCATCCTTTTCATTATACAACATTATTAAGTTAGTACTCACTGTGGCCAGCCTTCAAACGTGGACACGGTGAACAGAGCCAGCATCCCCATCAGCACGTTGTCAAAGTTGAAGTCACTGTTCTCCCAAATCCTCTCCTTCACCATCGGGTGGTTCATGTCTCCGTCTTTATACACCACGAACGTCCCTCTGAGAACATACACACACATTCATTTAACATCTGTGAACACATGTTAAGAATTCATGTACAACAATCAGTATATAAAGGAAACTGTAGGTTATGAAACCAGAGAAGGGGGATAATATTTCCAGAAAGAAACACAGAATTTACGATATTTGATTAATAGATTATTGAGAAACAAATATGGATTAAAGTGGTTTATTAACATGAAAATAATTGCAAATTTACAATAAAAAACCTTCATATTCTCAGAGATTATAAGGTCTTACATTTGCCAGAAAACAATTTATCAGAAATTGTCTTAAATAAAAGATACAATTACTAAAAGTAACACAACTGCTTCAATTTTTAAGGTAGGATGAAACTGATCCCAACACTTCAGTCTCAGAGTTTTGACTCAGAATACCCTCATCCCCGACTCTGCGTAGTATGTTATGTAGAGAAATTAGTAGAAAATAAAACTGACCTGCACTCAACAGGATTGTGTTTGGCTTCATCTGTGCAGCTGTAGAATCTGCCCTGTAACGATCAACACAGGAAGGATTAAAACATTAAAGAAAAAGTCACTAACACTAAAAATAACTGAGCTCAGAGGAAAAACTCTACAATATAATGCAGTCCAATACAACTTGTTTGTGAAGCTCAAAAGGTTTCACTGTTTTCGAAGTGTTCAAATGAAAATATGTAATAATGTTTGCTGATGTCATAATTAAAGGTGTTTCTATTTGTTGTGTTGTGCATTGACAGACATGAGATGGACAGAATATTAGAGAGACAAATACATTTCACACACTGAAATAATGAAACAGTAAAAGTAAGAAAACAATAGAGAGCAATACAACATTATTACATGGCTTAGTTGAATACTCGATTCTGATTGGTCAATTCAGAACACGTGACACGTTGTTAATCCAGAACAGACAGACCGCTGTCAAGGACTTATTGACCGTTGTTAAGGACGCTCACATCTGCACAAAGAAGTCCGGTCGATTGAACTGTATACAGTTTGGCCATTTTTTAAAACTGGGACAAGAAAACAGCGGAGAAGTAACGGGGCAGAAATAGACATCCATCCATCCATCCATCCATCCATCCATCTTCTCCCGCTTATCCGTGGTCGGGTCGCGGAGGTAGCAGCTCCAGCAGAGAGCCCCAAACGTTCCTTTCCCTGGCCACATCAACCAGCTCTGACTGGGGGATCCCAAGGCGCTCCCAGGCCAGCAAAGAGATCCCTCCACCTGGTCCTAGGTCTACCCCTCGGTCTCTTCCCATAGACATAGACATCAAACGGCGACACATATTCAGTTGCCAGTTACTTTGGCATTAGGGCACGGATATCTAGATACTTTCCAAGGTTTGACATCATGAATTGTGCTACTTTTAAAGCAAGCAACGATGTTTTCAAATCTGTAATCAAAAAGGTCTGCAAAAACGCAATCGAAGCAGTTCCTGCCGTTGCTACGTTAGTTCAAACGGTAACAACGGACTATTTTTCTTAGCGGATGCATGTCATTTTAAATAAATAATAGCCTACTATTTTTTAAATCAATAAAAACATTTTCTAAATCTATAAACAGCATTTCAATTAATATTGGGAGTCATATCGTTGCTTTGTTGAGAATGTGGCCGTGTAATAAGTGGGATAATGTGCAGCGAGGCGGTCATTATGGGGAAAAGAACACCCTTTTCCCCATAATGACCAAGTCGCTGCACATTATCCCTTACTCACCAGAGAGAGCATCAGTACAAAATAATGAATTAAAGGCCTAATTAAATGCATACGTTTTCAGTTGTTGTTTCAAAATATGTCAGAACAGTTGTATTATATTGCACCAGACTGTACAGGTGTATCTGATACAGTCTATAATTAAAGTGCTGACAGGTGAGCAGCAGGTACCTTGAAGAGCTGGACTCCGATACACGCGAACATGAACTGCAGCAGCGTCGTGACGACTAAAATGTTTCCGATGGTTTTGATCGCCACGAACACACACTGCACCACGTTCTGTACACAAAGAAAACACACGTGTTACTTTATTTACATTATTGAATTTCATATTCTGTTCTTGTACATATCCAATATTCTATTGACATGTATATAGACTTTTTGCACTACTTTCTACTTTGTATTTTTGTATTTTATTATATATGTTGCATTGTTGGAGGAGCTCAGGTCAGAAGAATTTCATTGCCATTTCTACGCTGTAGCTTTGTGCATATGACAATACAACCTTTGAATCTTCAATCTACTTACTTCATATTTAATTTGGATTTAACAGGAGTTTACCTTCAGTCCTTTGGCTCTGTTGATGGCTCGGAGAGGTCGGAGCACTCGGAGAACTCTGAGGATCTTTACCACTGAGATCGCACTCGAACTGAAGGAAGAAAAATGAACATATTAACCTGATAAAGGATTCAAAATAAGGCAGATTTAGCTGGGAAGTACATTGACTTAAGGACATGTACATTAGGGTGGTTCTTAGTGCCATGTACATTTTCAAATTCATTTATTTTAAGCTCCAACCACCGGAATTCGTTATGATAGTCAAGAAAACTCTCCTGGTGAATTTTATTCAAATTCCAACAACATTTACCCCTCCCTCATCGACCTTGAAGTTTAGCCTCAGTAGGGTGGTCCTTCAAATTGAAAGTGGGAAAGTCTAAGCTCCAACCCCGAGAATTCATTCTATTAGTCAAGAAAACTCTCCTGGTGAATGTTTTCCGACTTTCAATTTTAAGGACCACCCTAATGTACATGAGGTACTTTACTCCTTTTACTTTTGGCACTTTAAAGGTAGGGTAGGTAAGTTTGAGAAACCGGCTCGAGATCGCTAGAATTTGAAAATACACAACCGGAGAAAATCTGCCACTTCCTTACAGAGCCCCTCCTCCAACACACACGAACGCGCACATGACCAATGAGGGCACGAGATAAGTTTGTGCACAGATGGAAGGCTGACAGGCAGGTAGGCCATCAAGTTATTTTAAAATGATTGGTCGTGCTTTTTACAGTATTACGGCTTCCACAGATGACATTTTTTTATGGATTTTTTGTCAAAGCACTTCAGATATTCATTGCTATCGGGATGTTAAGAGCATTCCATGGAATATAACAGAAAGTGTATCTCGAGCCGGTTTCTCAAACTTACCTACCCCACCTTTAAGTATATTATTATTGCTAATGATTTTACTTTTTTTTTAAGTTTTGAAAGCCTGACCTTCATTTGTAGCAGTATACCACAGCGTAGAAATACTCTATAAGTGTCTGAGTACTTTGACCAACTCTGGATTTAAATGTAAAGAAGCCTAGAGGCTAATAAGAAGAAGCGGTGACTCCATTTGTAGTTTGTTAAAATAAGACATATATATAAAGAATAGATAAAATAAAATAATGATATTTTTATAAAAAAAGGAAGTAAGAGTAAAATATCCGATAAAATATTAAATGAAATAAAAATGAAATAAAAATACTAACACAAACTTAAGTTAAAGAAAATGTAAAAAAACATAAAATAAAAATACTTATGTAAACATACAAATAAAAATGTGCACATAGTACAAAATTATGTGTTTTATAATATACATATATGAGGCTTAATGTAGGACACGGATAGTTGCCTTAAGTTGTATAAAAATGTATATATATCTTTATTTGTATGGGTTTTAGGGACACTTTTAGATTTACAGTATATTGGGGCATTTTTGCCCCTTGCCCCCCTTTATGAAACTGACTACAATACCACCATTATAATATTGGCTGTGTGTGTGTGTGTGTGTGTGTGTGTGTGTGTGTGTGTGTGTGTGTGTGTGTGTGTGTGTGTGTGTGTGTGTGTGTGTGTGTGTGTGTGTGTGTGTGTGTGTGTGTGTGTGTGTGTGTGTGTGTGTGTGTGTGTGTGTGCTCACTGTAGGAAGAAGGAGGCGAGCGACACTCCGACCACCAGCAGGTCCAGGAGGTTGAAGGCGTTCCTGCAGAAAGAGCCGGAGTGCAGAAACATGCCATACACCGTCATCTGGAGAAAGAGAGGCGGGGAAATACAGATATTTAGGCTTTACTGTCCACACTAAAGTGATGAAATGTTGTTTATGTTACACTACATTTCAGAGGGAAGTATTGTACTTTTTACTTCACGAAATTATCCAAAAGCTCTAGTTACTTTGAGTTTATGAAACACAATGCATCGTTAAATTAAACTGAAATCAGGATAAACATCTTAATATGAGCTCTATTGCAACCAGCTACACCTTTTAAATGCATCCTACAAGTTTCTGCATCAAAATATGTGTATATTTCTTTTTTTCTTCACACATTTCATCCATACGTGTTAGTGTTCTTCATGATTCAAATTCATTTTGTTATAATAGTTTAAAATAGAACAAGGTCAGGGAGTACTTAAACTTTCTTTATACATATGTTTACCTAAGTAAGACTTTAAATGCAATACTTAACTTGTAAGAGAGAGTTTTAAATCATGGTATTATTACTTTTGCTCATGTTAAATATCCTTATTGTTTTTCCACAACTCGACATTTTAGCACATCCACATTTTCTTAGTTTCAGCCACTGCAGTGTTACCTTGAGTACAATCTCCACGGTGAAGACTGAAGTGAAAACATAATCAGCGTAGCCGAGCACCTGAGGAAGAGAGACGGACATCAGCTCTGGATATGGTTTGTTTTGAAGGTGAGTAACGATCAGATGGATGTGTTTTAACTGCATGAATCTGAACGTGGTCTCTCTTACGATGTTCCTGAATGAGTGAGACTTGATGGGATCCTCAGCAGCCAGAGAGATGCTGCTGAGGATGATGAAGACGAGGATTAAGTTGGTGAAGTACGGATGATGGATGAGGTTGTGGCAGGCGACACGTAAACTAAAAATGGGAGGGAAATTACAAAAATGAACTGGGTTATTTTAGTTTTGATCTATTGGTGTTAAAATGCATTACCATTCACATCCTTGAGCCTCACTAGGAACACTTTTGTATTTTTTACATTTCCATTATTTTGGTTTGTTGATTTTATAAGGCAAGGCAAGGCAAGGCAAAATGGCAAAATGACATTTAAAAGCAAAGATACATGAATTAAAGTCACAGTGCAGTGTGAGATACACACATCTGAAATGTTTAGCTCTGACTCTCAATCATTGCTCACTTTTTAGCAGAAATAGTTTTCTATCACCTCCCTTTCTTTCCTCTTTCTTGTTTAACTTATTCTTTAGTTATTCCAAGTGTTTCATGCTAAGCTAACCCCCCTTTGGAAAATTATAATCTGACCCCATGGTACCTTTTAGTTTTCACCGAAACTATTCCTCTGTTTTATTTTTAAATGCACATAGTTAAGTTGACCTTGTCTTTCTAGGACTTTTTTGGTATCCTCCGTGAACCAGGGTCTTGAAACCAAAATGGATTCCTGTACCCCATGGTACCTTTTTAGTTTTCGCCAAAACTATTCCTCTTTTTTTTTTAAATGCACATTAGTTAAGTTTAAGTTGTCTTTTCTAGGACTTTTTTGGTGTCCTCCGCGAACCAGGCTCTTGAAACCAAAACGGCACACGTAGGGGACTTTAACCACCTACGAGGGGACTTTAACCCCAATAATGACTTTAACTACCTACGGGGGGACTTTAACCCCAATAATGACTTTAACTACCTACGGGGGGACTTTAACCCCAATAATGACTTGAACTACCTACGGGGGGACTTTAACCCCAATAATGACTTGAACTACCTACGGGGGGACTTTAACCCCAATAATGACTTTAACTACCTACGGGGGGACTTTAACCCCAATAATGACTTGAACTACCTACGGGGGGACTTTAACCCCAATAATGACTTGAACTACCTACGGGGGGACTTTAACCCCAATAATGACTTGAACTACCTACGGGGGGACTTTAACCCCAATAATGACTTTAACTACCTACGAGGGGACTTTAACCCCAATAATGACTTTAACTACCTACGGGGGGACTTTAACCCCAATAATGACTTGAACTACCTACGGGGGGACTTTAACCCCAATAATGACTTTAACTACCTACGGGGGGACTTTAACCCCAATAATGACTTGAACTACCTACGGGGGGACTTTAACCCCAATAATGACTTGAACTACCTACGGGGGGACTTTAACCCCAATAATGACTTGAACTACCTACGGGGGGACTTTAACCCCAATAATGACTTTAACTACCTACGAGGGGACTTTAACCCCAATAATGACTTTAACTACCTACGGGGGGACTTTAACCCCAATAATGACTTTAACTACCTACGGGGGGACTCAACACAAGGCAATTCAAAGTGCTTTACAAAAATCAAAGACATTAAGAAAATGGCATTAAAAAGCAAAGATAATAAAAGTTACAGTGCAGTTTAAGATATTAATAGTTCAATTAAAATCTATTATAACCTAGCGTTTAGTATAATAAAACCAGTTAAGAAATAACACCAGTGGCATTATGTAATCAACAAATATTTGGTATTCATTATCAGAAATGTTTTTAAAATATTGAAAGTGAAAGTGGAAAAAAATATACCGGTAATATATAAAAATACTTTACGGAAGTATAACAAAAATAAAAAAAAACATTTCTTTATGAAACAACTGTGGTGTTATTTAAACAAACCTGAAATGTAAATGAATGAATAATTGATGATTTAGGTAGATTATAGTTTTAACTTCAAAAATGATATTAATAAGATATACAGTTTATTGACAGACATCTTTTAACTCTGAGGACTTTGGAGCAGCTTCTTATTTTGAACTGTTTTAAGAACAGTGGAATTAAAGAGTAACATATAATACTTTTCTAAAACTTCAAAGTCAAAGTCAGCTTTATTGTCAATAATTCTACATGTTGTACATCCAGAAATATCGAAATATCGTTTCCCGCAGTCCTACAGTGTGACATATATACATTGTAGACTACAACTTGCATTGTATAATATGTGATTTGATGTATGTATGATGTTAGATTACCAGTTTTTCTTTCCCATAATGAAGAAGGAGCTTCCGTCCGGGATCGGGACGATCTTCTCTTTTGGCCCCGAGAACTCAGGCTTTATCGGAGCAACTCCTGCAAAAAAATGAGGAGAAACAAGAGAAATATAAGAGACATTTTAACATATTTAATCATCATATTGTAAGCTTGTCCTGCAGGATTCACACTCACCCTCCAGACCCTCGATCGCCCTCAGCTCCTCGTTCTCCTGCCAGTCGTCCTCTTCAGCCTGAGACAAAACATCAGCTGTTTAGCAAAACTATGGAGGTAGATCTGTCTCAGTATTATCTGTGTGAACAGATCCACAATCCTCATGTTCATATATATTGCAAAATAAAACAGATCTGCAAATTTACAAACAAATTCCTCAAAACAAAAGGATAGACAGTACTTCCATACACCACCCTTTATTTACAAAAGATGTCCAATTTGGTGCAGAAAAATAATTCAAAAAGAGAATCTACCCCTGTGTCTTCTTCCTCTTTCTCTTCATCATCATCCCACTCTTCCTCGTCGTCCTTTTTCTCCCTAAAGAAAGAATACAAAATTAAAAAAGATCCCAACTATAACAAAGTATCTTGTTAAACATATATCACTTGTAAATAGGATACCTAATGTGTGAGATTGTGTTTGGTATTAGAACATACATTAATGAAAATATGAAAAAGATAGTATTATTTCCATCTGATCCCAGTTTCACTCTCCGTCTATAATGTGTTTATAGCTGTGTGTGTGTGTGTGTGTATTATACTGACATCGCATCAAGTAGGAGTCAGTAGGAAATGTGTGTAAGACCATAGTTATTATCATCTCTGTGTTAAAACGTACTCCACTACTGCTTTCCCGCCACCTCCTGTTGCCAAGTTGTCCACAGCGATAGCCAAGAAGACGTTCAGCAGGATGTCTGATCTCAGAGTGAAGGAGTTCAATTTGTTTAAAAGCACATCTGTAATTGTCTTCTACAAGGGGGTCTCTGAATGAAAACAAAGGTGCAATCTAGAGTTTGTTGTGCAGCAGCGTGGGATCATGGGAGTTGTAGTGTTCAGCTTCTCTCAGTGTTCATGATTCAGGAGTGTCTTGTCCTCTCTGATATAACGCAGTAAAAATAGTGAATACATTTTCAGTTTGACTTTATACATCTGTGTTATCCCTACAGCTTGTTTCTCTGATACCTTTAGATCCAGATGTCCCAATCACTAAAATCCTTCAACCAGTTAAAAAAGCACCATCAAGTAAAAAGAGTTTGGTAAAATTGTGGATCGAAACTGGATAAAAAGTCCGTTTTGTGGCTGCCGAAGCGAGCTCAAAGGAGATACAACGCCATCGCAGGACACTAGAGGACACATTACCTTAAAGGGGACCTATCATGCAAAATGCCCTTTTGTACGTCTTTTATAAATGAATATGTGTCCCCGGTGTTCCAGGGAACTCACCAAGTGTCAGAAAACACAACCCTCTCTATTTTCCTCCATACCCAAATCTCTAAAAAAGGGGCTGCAACGGATCTGATAAAAACTGATCCAGATTTGAACACTGTCCTGACGTCAGGACGGTGGCGCTACGGCTATTGGGCCAACTCCACCAATCAGGAGGAGACAGCCACGGCCATTGCCGTTCGAAAGCGCTGGAGACGCTGTAGTACATATGCCAGGCCTGTAGATGGTGCTGTTCTCACTGAAACAGCCCTTGCAAAAACAGAGCTATAAATTGCATGATCTGTTTGGTATTTTGAAACAAAAAAAGTATAAATATGCCTTATATAGGTATGGTCTGAAGTAAAAAGATATGATTCTACACTGTATTGAAGTAAACATGTATTATTTTGAATTGTATTTTAGTGAACATGTATTGTTTGAACTGTTTTATGTAATCACAACGGTTTTGGGTAATTATATATAGAAAGGATATTCTTACTTTCAAACTCACTGATCCAGAGATTCTGTTTCACTTGGCCTTTTTCACCCCTAAAAGCCAGATGTTGTTTTTAAGTTGTTAAAGACATCGTTAAATAGGTGAAGAAAAGTTTAAATGTCTGAAGGAGGATAGTTTATGTGAAAAAACCCCATGGGAAGGGAATGTAGAGTAGATAGGGTGGAGATAAACGTTGACTTTTGACCTTAGGGGACTTTGGAATTTCAAATTCTGGTGAAGAACTATTGAACCCGGCCAGAAGGGAATCCAGCCAGTCAGGACACTTGGGGGAGGTGATCAGCTTACACAGCTCCTCCTCACGGACTCTCTGATTCGCTTGGGAGGAAAATGGGAAGGAAGAGTCGACTGATCTCCGCCCCAAAAAATAGATATGAATACTGATGTTTTTGAGTGTAAAAATGCTTTTTGGTTTGGTGAGTTGGTTTGATCCCGATATCTGTGTCCGCATCGCATCACAAACCTGAAGTCACTTTCATCTCGTTTGATGAGTTGGTTTGATCCCGACACATTTATCCGCATCGCATCACAAACCTGAAGTCCGGAGTACTCGAGTACTCTGTATAACTTGTATATGTGTTTGGTTTCCTACTAGAAGTAAACTCAGATCATTTGTTATAACTTTGATTCCGGTGTTTTCAATTCCTTTCTTAATTTAATAGAGATCCAGCCTCATCCAACGAACGGCGCGTAGCAGAGGTGTTCTGCTCCAACAAGTGGTGACTTTCCCGACGTGATGGGAGCTGATCTCTAGAAAGGGACACCGATAGCCAGGGGACAGAATCCAGTCCAGGGGGAGGACACAGAGATACTGTTGACAACTACACCAAGGCGCCATATACAAAAGGTGAGCAGACACCTGTTTTGACTATCAAAAATCTGTGATTGATTATACTAAAATGTTTAGAGTTGTCAGCAGCGTTCTCAGTGTTCTTAGTCACGGTGGGAAATACAATACATATTACAAGTTGGGGATATTGGGGAAGTGCTTAGAGAAGGGTATTCAGTCCTGGACCTAGAGCAAAAATAGTGTTTGAGAGAGGCGGGTAGATAAGTCCCGGCCCTTCACTCACTAAATACGAAGACTGTAAGGCTGTAAAAGAAGTATAGGTTAAATTCCCCGTAAGTCAAAATAACATTGATTAATACGGTTGCTTTACAGTGCTTTAATTAAAGACTACGAAGGTGTAAAAAACAGAAGGGTTCAATTCCCCGCAGATCATGATAAGATTGATTAATGCGGTTACCTTTCGTGGTGCTTTAAATGTATAACATTTCTGTAATTGTTATATGGTGGGTGATAGAGGAGGAGAGAGACGCGACCTCCAACTAATTATTTGGAACGACCGAATCTCATCACAAAACTGTTGTGGGGATAATCAGGCTCATTAAACGTGACGATAAAGAGATTTTGTTGACTGAGTTTTAACTCCTGGCCTGAAGCCGCAATCGCCGTGAGGGGATTGTAGAAGCTTGCTTCTGGAAGTCACGCTATCTGTTGAAATAAACATCGCACAATAAAAATTTGCCTGACTGAAATATGATAAGGTATGAAAAGCTCTGTGTGATTTTTTTTAAGTCAAATCTGTGTAATACTTGAGAGAAAAATCCAGTAAAAAGAACTGTGGGTAAAGAATTGCAGAAGACATAGAGACAGAGAGCAACAAGCAGGTGGTATAATGTCTGAGACCCTACCTCCACCCTACGGAGATAATAGCTCACAAATGCCACTTATGAGTATCCCATCTAATACTCCTAAAAGAAAACACATTGTTAGACCTGATATTCAGGGAAAAGGAATGTTGGAAATAGTAATGGCAGATATTGAAAATCTTAAACTGGATCAACCAACCATGTTAGTGAACCCTGCTAATATGGAGCTAAAACAGAGCGATAATATGATAAGGACTATTAAACTGACCCCTTTTTGGAAATGGGATTTTCCGTTACACAACAGAAGACTCAATTCAGGCCTTAAAGAACGCTTTACAAACAAGTCAGGGAGAGTTAAATGTGGTGCTATGTTGCTCATGAGGGAGCTTACACTTTTGGGAAGAGATCTCCCCCTTTCTCTGCTCCTGAGGTGCTGCAGACTCACAGCAGCACACAGGGTCAAAGACAGGCATGACCTCTGGAGAGGAAGACAATCTAAATCTGAACAGACCACAGAGCCCATTAAAAGGTTTTATGGCCTCAACACAGAGAGGAAGATCTGGAGATTGTAAGGAACTCTCCCAAACTACCCACCCCCACCCCATCACAAGGGGAAGACTGTTCCTCTCACCAATAAACAAATCATCTCTTAACCAAGTCAGATTTCAAATATAGCCATAGCTCCAGTTGTTAAGAAAACAGGGAGTACTACAACATTCTGAAAAATTGAATACTAAACATTTAGAATTAAGAGAAAAATTGCACAGTATATTAAATAAATACAAACGAACACGTATCAACATAAGTCAGATAATATAGACGAGGTCAATCATGGAAGAAGGCTGACATTTAATGCCTGATATATAAGTAATAGTAATAATAAATATATAGCTGATATTAAATAACTGATGTATAAGGCTCGATATTTCTGAAATAGAACGCCGTTAACGGTGTTCTATTTCAGAAAAAGGGGGAAAAGGATAGGATATACATCAGACAATATGTATGTGAGATTATTACGTTTTTAGGAGAAATTTATCAATTTAAAATACTAGTTTTGGTATTTTTTGTTTTGTTTTGTTTGTGGCTTTTAAGAGAAATTGATACATTTAAAATAATCTAGCTTTGGTTATTTTTTGTTTTGTTAGTTTGTTCCTTTTTTGTTTTATTTTTATTTTTGTTCTATTTTTTATTTTTATTTTTTATTTTTAATTTTTTAATTTTTTATTTTAATTTTTTGTTTATTATTTTCTGCATAGTCTCTTGTCCACACTCCAGTCTAGTTGGTGCCGCCAATAAACACTAAAGAAGTAGAAGAGATGATTTCAAAACCATATTTCCAGCAACTTAAGGGCTTGGTATGAGACTTCTCCACACAGGCTGCTGACGCCAAAAGGGGGACCCGAGAAACACAAGGCCAACACAGCAGATTACGTCTGGTTGGAGGGGACCTCCCATGCCGTCCGCCTAGATGGAAAGGGAGACAACTGGTACCACTGGAGCCAGTGTGCGGTCGGGAAAAACACCTGCGAGGACCCTAGACGACATCAGGACAGAGTTGGCCCTCGTCGCGAGGACCCTAGACGACATCAGAACAGATCTGGCTCTCGTCAAGGCAGTCGACCCAGGAGGCGCCATCAGCGGACCAGAGGAGGAGGATCGGGAGGACATCTCTCCAACAGTCGACCCGGAAGCCGCCATCAGCGGGCCGGAGGAGGAGGATCGGGACATCTCTCCAGCATCGACCCGGAGGCCGCCATCAGCGGGCCGGGGGAGGACAATCAGGCCACATCTCTCTAGCAGGCACCCCAGAAGCCGCCGTCAGCGGGCTGGGGGGACGAAGACATGGCAAACCAAGACGGCACAGGGAACTCCATTTCCCGCTGAAACAGGTTGATATAGCCGGTGTGGAACTTTGTCTGAACAATCCATTTTTTGGAGGAACTTTCAACTTTATTTTTATATCCCATAAAAAGGGATTTGTATTTTTTATTCTACAGAACTATGTGTTACCAAAAGAGGGAAAAGTATGATAATGTCTTTTCTAATTTCTGTGGCTACTTTTATTGCCATTTTAGTGACATGTGGTTGTTGTTGTGTGCCTTGTATCTACTCATTGTGTGTTAGACTCATCAGTTCCACCATTGAGGGAAGAGTAAAGATGACTCAGCGGACAAGGACTTTGCTTTTTAGACATATTTTATTCTCCCTCCACTGTCATAAGAAGTTGTTGTTGTGGACTGTTCCTAAAGGTTTAAAGTGCTCTATATCCCAGCTTCTGATGGGTTTATATAAATGTTGGGACAGACACAGTAAGAAAAAAGAATGACAGTGGTAATGTTTCAAATGCTATATGTTGATCTCGTGAGGTGAGATCAAAAGAGGGATTGAAGTAAAAATATATGATTCTACACTGTATTGAAGTAAACATGTATTATTTTGAATTGTATTTTAGTGAACATGTATTGTTTGAACTGTTTTATGTAATCACAACGGTTTTGGGTAATTATATATAGAAAGGATATTCTTACTTTCAAACTCACTGATCCAGAGATTCTGTTTCACTTGGCCTTTTTCACCCCTAAAAGCCAGATGTTGTTTTTAAGTCGTTAAAGACATCGTTAAATAGGTGAAGAAAAGTTTAAATGTCTGAAGGAGGATAGTTTATGTGAAAAAACCCCATGGGAAGGGAATGTAGAGTAGATAGGGTGGAGATAAACGTTGACTTTTGACCTTAGCGGACTTTGGAATTTCAAATTCTGGTGAAGAACTATTGAACCCGGCCAGAAGGGAATCCAGCCAGTCAGGACACTTGGGGGAGGTGATCAGCTTACACAGCTCCTCCTCACGGACTCTCTGATTCGCTTGGGAGGAAAATGGGAAGGAAGAGTCGACTGATCTCCGCCCCAAAAAATAGATATGAATACTGATGTTTTTGAGTGTAAAAATGCTTTTTGGTTTGGTGAGTTGGTTTGATCCCGATATCTGTGTCCGCATCGCATCACAAACCTGAAGTCACTTTCATCTCGTTTGATGAGTTGGTTTGATCCCGACACATTTATCCGCATCGCATCACAAACCTGAAGTCCGGAGTACTCGAGTACTCTGTATAACTTGTATATGTGTTTGGTTTCCTACTAGAAGTAAACTCAGATAATTTGTTATAACTTTGATTCCGGTGTTTTCAATTCCTTTCTTAATTTAATAGAGATCCAGCCTCATCCAACGAACGGCGCGTAGCAGAGGTGTTCTGCTCCAACAGGTCCTACACTATATTATTCAAATATAGCATGATAGGTCCACTTTAATTAAAACTACACGTTGTTCTAGAACTACACAATCTATTCAATATTTCACAAAGGGCTAGTCATTTTTAGATATTGCAATGTGAAGATTTGACATATTATATGTTTAAATGTTAATATATTCTGGTTTCTTTACTCCTCAATGAGTGCTAATCTTTGGGAAACATCAGACAGCTCTTTAAAGGATACAGTTACCGCAGACGAAGAGGATGACGAAGTAAATGCAGACCACCATGTTGGGGAAGATGGGTCCTCCGTACGCCATGATGCCGTCGTACATCACAGCGTTCCAGTCCTCTCCGGTCAGGATCTAAAGACAGAGGGACAGACATTTAATATATACCACAACAAATGACTGTGAGAGGGCAATACAATAGGGCCTCATTTACCAATATGTTCAAAACATTTTTTAGTTAAATTTGTTCGGAAGATAGAAAAGTGCAAAAGTACAATTAATTATAAATAAATCCTAAAATATGATACGACTGTAGAAGTTAAGAAACACAGTAGCCAATCATTTTGCACAAAAATGTCAGCAATCATAGAACGTGATGTAGGTTTTAATAATTCTTAAGAGTGGTGGTAAATAAGGCTCATAAACGGAGATATTAACACCAGAACCGCCAACGGGTAAAATGTACCCGCGATTAGAATGCATTGATTTTCAAGGTACAATGTTCTTTTATTTATCATACTAGAACACAGAGTTAACAGTGAGTTTTGATCACACAGTGATGAAACGTATACCAATAGAATATGTGGACTCTCAGCTTTCATATTATATCTAGTTTGTGCAGATAGCATGAAGTATGATATATTGCTAACGTGAGTTATGTGCAAAGTGTCTCTCTATAACTATCTATCTATCTATCTATCTATCTATCTCTCTCCCTCTCTCTCTCTATCTATCTATCTATCTATCTATCTATCTATCTATCTATCTATCTATCTATCTATCTATCTATCTATCTATCTATCTATCTATCTATCTCTCTATCTCTCTATCTCAATCTATAAGGAAGCGCAGTAAACAACAGGCGTTGCTATAGCAACAAGTCATGTTTATGTTTACGCGCAAGATCAATAGCGCAAAAATCTTTTTTCAATCTGACTTCATATTGACCATTTTTAACAACAGAGGGTGCTACATAACAGACTTTCAGGAAAAGTCACGGACTGGGAGACTTGAATATTTTGTTGAAAAAAAGTTACATACAATCAAGAAACAGCTGCGGGTAAAATGTACCCGTTGGCGGTTCTAGTGTTAAGGAGGTGTTAATGACCTGGAAGCAGGTGAGCAGAGCCTGAGGGAACGAGTCGAAGGTGCTCCTCTTCATCTGCGTCTCGTCGAAGTTGAACTTTCCTCCGAACAGCTGCATGCCGAGCAGAGCGAAGATGATGAGGAAGAGGAAGAGCAGCAGCAGCAGAGACAAGATGGCTTTCATGGAGTTCAGCAGAGAGTTCACCAGGTCAGACAGAGCCGCCCAGTGCCTGGAAACAACACACAGATCTATATCAGTTCCTTTTTCATGCAGCTGAGTGGAAATCTATCGCTATTAAGACATGGTGTAACTAAATAGAAATAATAATGTGATTTAATTTCTTGAATATATTTATAGGATAAACTTAAAGGTGGGGTAGGTAAGTTTGAGAAACCGGCTCGAGATCGCTAGAATTTGAAAATACACAACCGGAGAAAATCTGCCACTTCCTTACAGAGCCCCTCCTCCAACACACACAAACGCACACATGACCAATGAGGGCACGAGATAAGTTTGTGCACAGATGGAAGGCTGACAGGCAGGTAGGCCATCCAGTTATTTTAGCCGGGCCGGCTAAAATGATTGGTCGTGCTTTTTACAGTATTACGGCTTCCACAGATGACATTTTTTTATGGATTTTTTGTCAAAGCACTTCAGATATTCATTGCTATCGGGATGTTAAGAGCATTCCATGGAATATAACAAAAAGTGTATCTCGAGCCGGTTTCTCAAACTTACCTACCCTACCTTTAAACAAGACCTACTTGCTCAGTGTTCACATGGTGATCTTTGACCGTTTTTATTTGTATTACCTTTTTTGATTTACCTCTATTTTTTACTTTTTAAATTGTACTTGCATTTTTATTTTTTATTTGACATTTTAATAATTTTTTAATTTTTACTTTTAATGTAAATTTATAAATTGTATTGTTATTTTTATTTTATTTTTTCTTATTTGAATTTTACATTTAAATTGTTCTTGTTAAATGTAACAAGTGGATACAAACTCATTATTTATTTGAATTATTTGATTTTGAATTATATTTTATACATACATATACATATTTTGCATTTACCAAATATTATGCTTTCTGCAACTTTGATATTGTATTGCCATTTCAATAAAGTTGAGATTCATTGTGCCTCTTTGTCCTTCCGCCATTAGCTTTTTTTTAACCTTAGGAGGTTAATAATTTTATCTCTACCAGGATCTAGTCTTTCATCACTACAAGCAACTCTTTCTCTTAGTATGTTTTTTGAATCCGTCCCCCAGATGTTTCGCCCCTAATCTCAGCCCCAGTTACCGGGTCATCTTGAAGATCATGTAAAGTTTTAAATCTTGTTCTTTTATTTAAAGGTGACCTATCATGCTATTTTTAGGCAATAGCATAGGTCTCAGATATATACAAATATACAAAAAACATGTCTATGAAGTGTTTTGCTCAAAATACCAAACAGATCACCCATTCTAGCCATGCCTCATATCCCTCTATTTCACTTCCTGTTTCAAAAGTGCTGATTTGGGGTATAAAGCGTTAAAAAAAAAATTGATAAAAAAAAAGGAGGGTCTGAGCTCATGCGGGACCCGGCAGCTACTGTCTAAACTAAATACTGCCGTGATGAAACGCCATATCATGGATTATCAAGGATTATTTCTGAAACAGTATGGAGCTCAAAGGCTTTCTCTCTTGCCGGTTATACCACAAGGTGAGTTCCTTTTTATTTCCTGCTTCTTCACACACATGCTGGAGGCGTGTGGTGCAGTGGGTTGTGTGTTGGTTTTCGGATCAGGGGGTCACAGGTTCAAACCCCAATACAATCAGCATGTCGTTGTGAAAGACACTTCACCCAGCACTCAGTGCTCTGAGATTTGTTACTAACTGTAAAGTACTTACTCATCACTGTACCCTGTATGCCAAGGCAGGTCTGCCTTCACTTACTGGTCGGAGGCTCAGTCATTGGTACATATTCATATATAAAGCCATGCTGGGTAAACTACCGACTTATATCTGCTCTTTGATCTCACAGAGAGTGGCAAGTAGCTATTGCCTGAGATCCCAGGATGTGTTTTTATTACATGTGCCAAGTGCTAGGACTGTTTTAGGTACTAAAGCTTGTATGTGCGCTGCTCCTCTAGCTTGGAACACCATGCAAAACATATTGAAACTGAGCATTTTGATTCCCTTGCATCGTTTTAAAGCACGGCTGGATGAAATGTTATTGGATACCTGTCAATGTAAATAGGTTGCTAATGTATACCCCTGTAATTATGTTGTGATGTCCTTTTGTTTTCTGTTTGTTTTTATGTGTAACTAATGTACCGCAGGTCTCCCTTGAAAAAGAGATCATTGATCTCAATGGGATTTTTTAACCTGGTTAAATAAAGGCTACAAACAAACAAACAAACAAACCCCAAATTGCTCCTGTGGGGATTGCCCACAGTATTGAGTATGTAAGTCGCTTTGGATAAAAAGCGTCTAACAAGTGACAAGTGACATGTAATGCTCTCCAGTACAGGTTAGCTCTGAGTGTTAGCGATGCTAATGTAAACACAGACCATATTACGTCCAAAACAGTCAGGCATTGTTTCTGATAGCAACGTTTCTGATAGTGCCGTGGGTCCACATTTCTGATATTACGTCATATCTGACGCAAATCTGGATTAGCCCCGTTTTTAGAGATTTGGGTACGGAGGAAAAGAGAGAGGGTTTTATTCTCTGACGCTGCGTGAGTTCCCTGACACACCGGGGACACATATTTATATATAAAAGACATCAAAAAGTGCATTTTGCATGATAGGTCCCCTTTAATCTCAGCCCCAGTTACCGGGTCATCTTGAAGACGCGCAGCAGGCGGATGCAGCGCAGCACGGAGATGCCGATGGGGGGGATGAACTCCATCTCCACCAGCAGCGTCTCCAGGATCCCCCCAAACACCACGATGCAGTCGAAGCGGTTGAAGAGCGCGATGAAGTAGATCTGCAGGCCGAAGGCGTACATCTTCAACAGCATCTCCAGAGTGAAGAGGAGCAGCAGGACCTTGTTTGCCCGCTCTGAGGAAGAGGGGGGGGGGGGGGGGGGGGGGGAGAGTCAGTTAATATACAGATTAAGTTAGAATACCACACTGTTGCTAAAAAAATACAAAGTATAGGAGACATAGGACACTATATACATTACACAAGAGTGCAGAGTAGTTGCAGTGTTTTGTATGTATGGAGTGTGATGATAAGATTACATTTAAATACAAAAAATTCAAACATTTAAAATAAAATAAATAAAAACAATTAAAATGGATAGAATGTAAAAAAGAAAACAATTTTAAATTAAATAAACTTAAAATGTCTTCGTTTTACATTTTTATTTACACATTTTTTTTTTGTAAAATGTAAATGTTGAAGTAATAAATAATATTATTTAAAAAAATGTAAAATAAAAAAAATAATAATAATTTAAGCTAAGAAATATGAAGACTTTTTATTTTAAATGCAAGAAAATTGAATCAGAGTTCTCTGGGTTATTGCTTCTGGCATGACAGATTTTCTTTTTCTTTTTATCTTAAAAAGACTAAATAATTTTTGTCTTGAATCAAATACATTACACCTATTATTTATATAAGTGTAATGTAACATGAAGAACAGATTCTCACCCTGCATCTCTGTGAGCCACTTGGGCTGCCCGTAGTGCTCAGAGGCGCTGGCCACCGTGTTGAGGAAGACGAGCAGCAGCACCAGCCAGTAGAAGTTGCTCGTCTTCACCGCGACTCGGCAGTTCTTCCTCATCGTGTGGTTCAGCTGGCACAACTGGTCACTGGAACAAGAGAGGAGAAATATTTGAGTTAAAAGGTCCCCTATTATACTGTTTTTCATCAATATATTATAGGTCTCAGATATATCCAGAGCCTGTCTCTGATTGGCTGCAACGCCAAACAGATCATTGCAGCATCCCATAATCCCCTCTGTTTCAGCCCTGTTTCCAAAGTGCTGATTCTCTGTCTGTTACTTTAGATGAAAATAAGGAGCCCCTCCCCACGCCCCTCTGAGAGATATTTGGTTAAAAAGAACACAATGGTGCTCTAGGAGGAGATTCAGGTGATAAGGTGGGGGGGGGGGGGTCTCTTTACACAGAGGGGACACATGTTGATGTATAAAAGACATGAAAAAGTGGATTTTGCATAATAGCTGACCTTTTTGACTGGGTAGGAGTGATTGGGAATAAGCTGTTTTCATTAATTTCACAAACATATAGTGCGATATTGAATCATGAACATGCAATTTACTATGCCTATTTTATTTGAACTCTTGATTTAGGGGGCGAGACGGAAGGATTAACAAAAAATACCATGAGGTCGATTTTTTACAATAAAGTTAATGTTTGTTTTAGAAGTTTAAATATTCACATGAGGCATAATGTAACGTCTACTTTTGTTGAATTTAAGGGAACGCTTCAGAGAAAGTTTGACAAATTCAGTTAAATAAACTTCTGAAAGTGGATTTTGGACGTTTTCTTTCCCCAAGTCTGAAAGAAGACCTATCAAAATTGACCAGTACATGTTATTGCCTATACAGTCTCACCTTAAATGAGACATACATGTAAGGAACTTCAGGATGTCAGAGTACCTCTTATGATTGCATGTGAGAAATAAAGAAATTGATCTTACCAGAAGCTATTGGCCATCATCTTCGCCCTGAGGAAACAAGAACATGTTAAAGCATTATTGACTTTATTAACACCAGTCATGAATTAATAGAAATGAGTTTTTTCTCAGTTTCCTTACATGAGAGACGCACAGAAGCCGTTGTCGTCGTCGAGGTACGCGATGTCATCGTCTGAGTCTGACTCTGAGGAACACAGAGGAAACAACCGGCTGTTTGAGAAATCCTGTCAAATGAAATGTACTAAAACTACTAAGAAACAAAGAGAGCTGACGTACCTCCTCCGTCCTCACTGTGCTTGTACCAGCCGAACTTCTTCATCATCTTCTTCTTCGCGATCGCAGCACCTATAGAGACAAACAGAGGATGATTAGTTTCAACGTGGACATTTTGTACTACGATAATCCCCAATTATGGTATCTTGTGTACAATTTTTTATGTAATAGTTAATTTAAAGTGGATCACAAAGAACAGCTGAATAAATATTTCCCGTGGAATTTAATTTCTAATATTTCAAAACTATTTTGAGGATTTTTTCTATTTATTTCAATGTATTTAAAACGTTTTTATTGAAGTATATTGATTTAAATATGAATTTATTTTACCTATATATACTGTATCTTCATAAAGTATGTTTATTTATATCCTCACACTTTTTTATTCGTTTTTTTATGTTCTTTTTTACATTTTTAAAGGAATACGAACTGAATATGTAAATTAAAATCACCCAAGGACACTGTACAATTTGTTAAATATTCTAAGAGGTAAAAGAAACAGAACATGATAAAAACACAAACATACCATCATGGAGAAGACAATTAAAGTGGACACAATGATAGGGACAGGTTATTGCAATTGATAGTTCATACGTATAGTTGAATGTGTAAATGTTTTGTCTCACGTTTGTTCCCCTCCTCGTCCACGTCCTCGGCCTCGATCAGCCAGTCCATGTATCCGATCATGTCCTCCTCCATCTGTTTGCTCTCCTGAGCTTGCTGCAGGTCGCCCCGAGCCACCGCCTTCTCTCTCTCCTTGGAGAACTCTCTGTGCACACAAATCAGTATCGCAGTCACAAACCCTATTTTTCCCACAGTCGCAAAATATCCATTATTACACTAAAGCAGGGGTGTCCAAACTTTTTTTACTGAAGGCTGCATACAGAAACATTTACGAATAGCTGGGCCACTCACTAGAGGTGAGTTGCCTCATTAGTTAAAGGGGACCTATCATGCAAAATGCACTTTTTGATGTCTTTTATACATAAATATGTGTCCCCGGTGTGTCAGGGAACTCACAAAGTGTCAGAAAACAAAACCCTCTCTCATTTCCTCTGTACCCACATCTAAAAAAAAGAAGAAGAGGGGGGTGCTAACAAGCAGATCCAGATTTATCGCTCCTATAACGTCATTGGCGACATCCGGCCAACGTGACACGTCCCAACCTATCGTCTCCGGCACACGTGACACGTCCCAACCTATCGTCTCCGGCACACGTGACACGTCCCAACCTATCGTCTCCGGCACACGTGACACGTCCCAACCTATCGTCTCCGTATACAGTCGCAGCTGTGTGTCTGTGTATTCAGCAGGATGTTTGCTGGAGGCTTAGAATAAAGTTGTTATATATATAATACATATAATGGCACTGTTCTAGCGGTAAACACTTAAGAAAGAACATGTCAAGCTATGTGCTGTATCAGAAACAATGCGCGGCGTGTTTTGGGAGTAATATGCTGTGTGTTTACATTAGCAAGCATGCTAACACTGAGAGCTAGCCATGGAGCTAACGCTGTAGGCTACTGGAGAGAATATGTGTAACGTAATGTGTGGTAAACCCTGCGAGAGAGAAAGGTTTGAGCTCCATACTGTTTCAGAAATAAAGCTTGAAGTGGTTAGGAGCATAACATGGCATTTAATCACCGCAGCGTTTAGCAGGTGATTACCCGGTACCAGGGGAAAGCTGCGTGACGCTACAAAGGGGCGTGGCTAAAGCAGAATCAGCCTGTTTGCAACAGGGCTGCAAAAGAGGGGTATGAGCAGTATGAGGCATGGCTACAATGGGTGATCTGTTTGGTATTTTAAGAAAAATCTTCACAGACATGTTTTGTATAGGTATGGCCCTACAATATATGTTTCCAATATAGCATAATAGGTCCACTTTAAATAATGTAAAGGCTTTTTAATACGACTTAAAGCTTCATTTCTAGATTAAAGAAATCCAAACATTTCAGACTTTTAACATCATTTAAATCCTTATTTCTAGATGAATTAATGTAATTTCTTTTAAGACTTTTTAGGGATCTGAGTAAACCCTGAATGTAAGGGATTCATTTTATTTCTCACAACCCACAGTAAATAAAACAATAAAAACACAGTTGGGTTAAAAGCTGCAGCGACTCACCCGCTCAACACACCCAAAACGAGGTTGATGATGAAGAAAGATCCGAAGATGACCAGAGAGACAAAGTAGATCCAGGGGATTTCCATCCCGATGGCATCGTTCATCTGAACAGAAAGGTCAGTCATTTTAACAACTGTTTGGAAAATACTGAATGTACTCTTCCAATATCAGAGTAACATGATAACAAAGGTATCCCAACTGTAGCTGTGTACATGACAGGATGTATGATTACCTAGAAGAGCATCAGGACTGTTTTAGGCATATGATAGCTATGTGATTAACATGATGATTCAGCCTCTATGGAGATAGACATATGACAAGCATGATCATTTCTGACGTGGAGCTAATCTGAAGTAAACATTGAATACTGCTTTCTATTCCTCCATCTTGTGACTGTGTAACTCCCTCTCTTGGATATCAGCATGTGAAGGACACTGTTCAGGAACTAGTTGATGCTCTGTTTGTGATGACTACTTCCATTCTGGAGAGGATCACAAATACATGGATCCTGAGATTGAAGCTCAATCCGGGGACCAGTGAGTGATTATTAAAAATGTTAAGTATTCAATTTTTTTTTGAGATTTTGAGAAAAAGTCAGAATTTTGAGGAAAAAGTCAGAATGTTTAGATGTTGCCCAGGAGCATGTGTGTGTACCCAGTAGAGAACGTCTGTCCATCCCTCCATAGTGATGCACTGGAACACCGTCAGCATGGCGAAGAAGATGTTGTCGAAGTTGGTGATTCCTCCGTTAGGCCCCTCCCACCTCCCTCTGCACTCCGTACCGTTACCGTCACAGAAGCGTCCGCTGCCGGCGAACGCACACGGCGAAGGATCGTCCTCCACTACGAGGCC